AAAAAAAACGATTAATACATGTTCGATTACTAAATGGACAACGATTTCCTCTGGAAATAAGACAATTACTTTTGGAAACATGCTCATCTTGCGTTAACTACTATCGATATCGGCTCCCTATTTTCTACCAATGTGATTCTGATTCTCTGATACCCATTTTCTTCACAATATGTACTTCCTTTGGTACCAAAATAATATTCACTTTGCGTGCTATCTTCATATGTGCATCTATGTGTCAGATCTGCTTCAGAGTCCATCCTCCCTGCTCTAATTATTGAAACGTTTGTCTAATATCCTAATTTTTCGATATAGCTCAAATATCCCTACAATGTAGAACATTTTCCGGGAGTTCGCGTGATGAAACCCTTGAGCTCACTTGACGTTTGCTTGGCCAACCTTTGCACATCATAGCACACCTAATAATGTACCAATTTCTCAAAATTTCACGAACTCGATAATCTCAAAATCTTAATAGATACGCTCAATAATTCTCATAACTCCAATAATTACTTTATTCTCAATTCTCTATCAATAACATCAATTGATTATCTCTTCTTATCGCTTTACTTTCGACTAATTCGGACCATTTCCTGAAACAACTACTCCCCTGGCTATTTGCCTCGACAGGTATTGAATGATACAGGGTGATGGTGCGGTATCCACAGTGACTCTTGCACTGATCAAGTCGTCAGCGAAAATATCTTCGACTCATTTGGTCAACAACTAAATAACCTCTTTGGGTTCAACAAATCACTCACTTTCATATCATCATCTAGCTAGTGCCCATTTTGGGTCTTATTATAGCACGCAGTATCCCAATATACTGCATATACATTGTCATCAGCGACAATCAAAAACCTTTTTCATAATATTTTCCAGCCGATACTTCAATTATTTGAGATTTTTATCACGAAATTTATCCTGAGCATGTTGATTGTATTCCTATATGTGATCCACAACAGATCTGAAATGTCTACTTGTGTCATTATTAGTACTACTCATTTTCCTCTTAACCCAATTTCTTAAATGAAGCTTCAAAATATTTAGCTTGGAGAGAACAATTCGTATGACAGCCACCCATCTTCTGCTTTAAGTTGATAGTACAATTTTTACTCGTTCAAGGACACATGTTATACATAAATAAACTAACCTAAATTTACTTAATCGGAATAAAATATATAGTGAGAATAAATGTGTGTTTCTCCCAAAAAAACAATACCTACCTATGATGATTATTAACGTTCATTCTCTAGAGATAAATGATCCAAAAAATTCAAATTCAATTTTTTAAAACTTTAGGCTTGGCTTGCGACGAAAATGAAAAAAAAATTAAAATATTATGCTATACTCTAATGAAATTTTAGTCATGAAGGTGATTAAGTTGCTTCGAGTAGTAAAATCCTTGTGGAAATCAATATTCAGGGGCATCCTTAATGTTATAAATCGATAACAAATATCCACGAATACCCTCAACGCTCTAGTTCCATCCTTTTCGGAACCAGATAATCTTTCGTGAACTGTGACCCTCATATTTTCTCATATGGTCACTTCCACATTTCTCTCAATACAAAAAAAATCATCATAAATCTCGATAATTCCTCATTATTCTCATCCATATATCTAAATAAACTCCATTTCCACACAAAAAAATTGATTACTTCTTCAAACACTCTGTATATCACCTCAAGACATTAACGTTTTCACAATATAGCACATTTTTATCAAAATGAAAGTTTCTCTGTTCTTCAATGGGTCACAAACAATTGAAAATAAATTAATACTTCTTACTCAGTTTTCGTATGGGTACAGAAGGTTTTAGCATGCCTATCTGTGTGCACTACCAGGAACGCCCCATTTGAAAATCAAACCGAGGCAGTCCAGTTTTAGCCTGCTGGACCGTTCGCAAATCCTGGCCAGATGCCCCATATGAGAACACATTTTTATATCCAATTCTTAAAATAATGAAAACTGTCCCATAAAAATATTTCTCTAACTTTGATATTTATAATTTAATAAAAATAATATAATTTAAAAAAGAAAAAGAACATGAAATTTGAAAAAGTGAGGTTGGTTATGAAGAACCAACCTCGGGAACGAGTCATTGGCGCCTCCACCATGTCACAAACTGTAGGCGGGGGTTGCCTAAGCTGTGTTCTTTTTGTCAATAGAGAATGAACCTTGGCAATGAATAGTCGGAAAAAAAGTGAAATCATTTCCAAAACAACAAATATACACATTTATTCAGAATCAGAATATGAATAACAATTTAAAACATACCTTATGCCTGTACATGCTATCTTCTGAGACCTGGAGGAAGGGCATCAGTGTCACAGCTTCAGACGACCGATGAAAACGTATTTATCATTCTCAAGGTAAATTCGCGACGCGTCCTTGTCAGAGTCCTAAGCGCCTGATTTTCGGGCTAAGGACCGACAAGCCATTTTATCGGAGATGATTCAACATCAAGAAAAGACTTTCCGTGGTCGTGTTAAAAAAAACAGAGCTACAATTAGAACTGGCAGTCCAACTCGCAGTCGAACCGGTAGTCGAACTGTCGAACCCGCTTCCTTACGTCTCTTAAATAGTTGTCTTTATTTTCGGAAACGTGACAGTAAGGAAATCAGGTCGATAGTCCAGGTTCGTTGAAGTCAATGTCACGCCTGTGTTTATGTTCAACTATGGAAAAAAGAGTTCGTTCACGATTCGAAAATTTTGGAATTAATAAACAAAGACGCGACCGTTCAATGACTTCGAACCTTGTATGAATTTGAATGAATGAATGAAAAATAACCCTATTTGTGACAATATTAGTTATTCAATAATACTCAAATTATCAATCATGTATTGGTAATATTCCTAATCAGCAATAAAAAGTCAATTATAACAACATTTTCCCTCATGTGTTCTGGCTTATTGCATATATATATACATTTGTGTAAATAATAATTATATTTATTCACACTAGGACATTCGAACTAGTGAACGTGACAACGCGGCGCACGTATTGTCTTGCCAGCTCTCAGCTAGCTCAATGTTGCCAAGTCTCCTACATTTAGATGTTATTTTTTTTACTTGTTTCTTTAACGTCGGCTTTCTTCTGCTACTGAGGCTAATCACCGACGCCGGTGAGCACACTATACCCCCAACCGGAAATTTTGCCGAATCCTCTGGTGTTCCAACCAGAGGTAGGGATCTTTAACGAGTCCAACATCCATGGTCTCGGGACCGCCGGCTTAACGTCCCCTCCGAAGGACGGCATATCCGTAACATATCCTGTGCTCATTGATATGGTAGCTGTAGCTATGATATGCTATTCCGCTACAGATGTATAGGGCTTACGCGGCGTTTCCTCGAATGGTCACCCATCCAAGTACTAACCGCGCTCGACACTGCTTAACTTCAGATATCGAACGGCTAGAGCCTTACCTGAGAAGCTAGGAAGAAATATTTGGACATGCTGGTTGCTCTAAAAAGTCAAGAATGAACTATAATATCATGGCATCCTCCTATTAAGTTCCATTCAACGACAGGACTCTAACATCTTTTTGATAACTTGATTATAATTGGTGACTTGACAACCTTGCTTCATCAGTGGAAATGGAAGATCATCTGACCAATAACGAAACAGCATAAACACTGACGTCACCATTTATTCGGCGTATTGCCAAATGGCGGCCATGACGTTACGTTTGAAATGAGCTCTGAAAGTCAACGATTTTGAACATCGCATAGACTCATTATTTGCATAAAAAAATCGTGAGAAGTGTTACAAAAATCAATTCAGGTCCCTAATGACACAGTGCAGTAATTGAATGCCAATAATTCATTATCAGTGCACTCGCCCATTCTCACATTGGTACTATTCAAGATATTGCAAGGATTTTACATAGCCCACTTGACCCTAAAACAAGAATAGTCGTTCAGTATCCCAATCAGAAAGATAAATAATAGATGTAATGCAAGGTGATTGTTTGTTCAAATCTGTAAAAAAATTTATATGGTGTCCATACGAAAAATTGAAGTTGTAGCTCATATATCGAATGTTGTCATGTTACAGAAAATAACTGACAATAGTGAAATGCTCATGAGAAATGCTGAAAATGATGATTGACAAAAATACAAATTTTCATTTCATTTTTAATAACATAATAAACAATTATAGCTCTGATTTCCAAAAAAATGCCGGACCATACCACTTGGGATCCCGCAGTTTCGCATGCGCATTATACTGATTTCTCGGGTCTTTCTCTCTATTATGTGATTTGTGCACAATTTCTTCACAGTAATATAATGGTTAAGTAGGTAGCGTATATCTTCGAATGCCTGATTTCTGGATTTATAAACCGATAATCAGGCCTCTATACATATCATTGACCTATCATTACCAACGGTGATTGGTACTCTCGGGTGGTAAATCGTCACGAACAGTGTCACGACATTCCTAAAATCAAGGAATATATAACCAAAATATCAAAAAATTTATAGATTCTATATTCAGGGCAGTGAACTCACTAGGGGTATCACAGCCACTATAGGGCTGAACATGGAACCTATAAAAATCTCGGTACGCTTTACGAGTCATCCGACGATCTGTAGAATTCTCATCTAAAAAATATAGGCTGGTAGAAATTTCTTGAACATCTCGATCTCGTACTTATATGATTTACTCATTAGAGGTTATTTGTTCGGTTGCCATTAATCGAAATTGAAAAATTAGACCATATGACTTTTCAGTGTATACCTACCCATACAAGTGTTCCAGAATGATCTGGGAAGAAACTAATGTGTTATGTATACTGAAAAAAATAATGAATTCACAAAATATCCGGAATAAGTTGTTGACTTGTCTAGTTTGTCAATTTTTTCTCTCAACGACCTTCTTTAATTCTCCATCTGTGATTCTTCAACTGTCTAGATGTAGGTAGATGTCTCAACACCCATAACGTGAAAACAAACTTGTTGCTTCTTCTTCTTATCGACCACATAATATCGATTTCCAGGCTCAAGAAAGACATGGTTCAGCCGAAGACCGTATCCAACGGCTGGAGAACAATTTGGACGAAAAGAATGCTGAACTAGTTCGCCTTAACCAAAGACTAAAAATGAATGAAGACCATAATTCTCGCCTTTCAGCGACAGTAGATAAACTGTTGTCAGAATCTAATGATAGACTGCAAGACCACTTGAAAGAAAGGATGCATGCCTTGCAGGTAAAATAACCCGAATGATAATCATCATCACTTTACTAATCGATCTTAGTTCTCATAAATTCTACTTCTTGATCGTTGCCATTTTTTTTATTTATTGAACATTCATTGGATTACAGGAGAAGAACAGCCTCACTCAAGAGCTTGAGAAAACAAGAAAGATGTTGGAGGAGTTGGATAGTCAAAAGGCTGATATAATGAAGGAATTAGCTAAATCTAGGTTAGAAATAGACAATGTGAAGAGGCAGATGCTGCAACAAGAGATAGCTTATAATATACAACAAACAGACGCCCTTACTAGGTGAGAATTATCCGGTTTTCTGTCCTATATGAGTTTCTTTTTTGTTTCATGGGATCACTCTTTGATGTTTTTTTAATTTGTTGATATTCTACACTATCCATAAATATTTTGAAAAATTTCAATATTCCTGTTATAAATTCTTTTGATTTAGGAATATATGCGATTATCAATACTGTTCAGCACCAGTTCAATATGTCAGTTAAAACCGCCCTACTAACAGAAACAAAGAGATATTCTATACCTATCAGCTCAAAATTCAGAATAACCTGCTCTGTGAATTTTTGTAAATCAAAATGGCCATCATTTTGTTCCTATTTTACCATATTTCACTATCAAATTGACATAATCTATCTCTCAAACTATACAGGTTGTTTTGTCTATACCACACATTAGACGTATTTGGAGTTCAAAAAATAATGTTAATAATAATTATAATAATATTAATAATAATAATAATGGTATTTTCAGCGAAAACTTCACTGAATTAACTGTTTTTCCTCTTAGCCCAAAAAATTGTCACTGATATGAAAATGTATGTACAGGGGTTATGAATTGGGTCCTGTTCAAAAACAAATATTTTCAAGATGGCGGGTGGCACCAATTCCGGTTATACTAGTCGACATCAAATTTGTTATTACAATAGAAAGCTATATTTTTTTATCGCTTTTCCAGATCATTTATTTCATTCAAAGATGATCTTCATCAGATGTTTTTGTTTTTGCTTTTTTTCTTCATTGTCATCTTCCACTTTCAGAATTGATAACTGACATTTTTTAATTAATCGGAATCATTTTTGAGCGTCAGTTAGAGGAAGTATTGATTTTTTTATTATATTCCCGTCATTCGGGAAAAACGAATAGAAATCTGTCAAATTCGAAAAAACATTTGGAAAAGTTCAAGTAGTCATAACACATATTTTTCACTTATTGAAGGATAATTTAATTCCACATCGATCTGTTTGCCATGGAAATGAGAACTGTTATAATTGTGTTCAATAGTTTTCTTTTTGTCAGATTATTATTTATTATCACACAACATGGAAAATCAGAGTTATTCAATTCACCTGTTGAATTCATTTTATATTAATGGAGTATGTTGTATAATAGTGAACAGAACTTGTCATTTACTCAACGAGACATACCCTCACTTGCAATGTTGCTATTGCCTGTCTGAACTGTAAGAAGGTCGATTTCTATCTTTCAAACTTCCACCTATTCAAGAGTTGCAAGTTAGTATATTTCCGTTGAATAAACGGCAAGTTCTATTCACAATATTGAAATACATTCTCCATGAATACCAATTGAATTCTTGATTTCAATAACCTTGATTCTTCATATTTTGTAATTATCAAAAATAATCCAATATTTTTATTGATATATTCCACAAATTTGGTGCTCTAATTTTGAACGGTTAGTGAGATATAATTAATATTTTTATAATTTTTATTTTGTTGAAAAAAATATAGGTTTTCATTCAAAATAAGAAAGTTGGTGCCGACTTTTGGCACACCCTGTGTAGCTGGAGGACTGAATCTATTTGGGGTAGATTGGAAATGATCGGTGATAAGAACATACCAATTTTCAAGTGTTTAATCATACTGCAAGTTAGAAAACTGGTATTGTGTGGCCTACGTAAATCACCCTGTATGTAAGTGGGGTGATATTCAACTTTTGTATTGCTTTTCAAAGTTATGTGAAGACTATGCTATACATCGTGCTTCTATTTATTACAGTTTCAATTATATTATTGTATCAAGTCACTGTACCCACCTTGAAAAAATATGGTTGAAAAATACTCAGACCAGGGGAGGAACATTCTCTTTTTGAATAAATATCATCGAGGTTATTAGTGTTCTATTAAGGAACTTAGATTCCAAAAATTTCACAAAGAATAAAATCCATCAAATATAAGAATAATGATACGATTAAATAGTAAATTGAGTTTCAAGAATGGTTGAAGATAATGTTCGGAGATTGAGCGCAGAGAATGTTAATTACTAATTGCTCAATATGGCTTAGCAACCAATAAACACAACTGAACGATCCAGATCCACAACAGGCAGGTCGTACAAATAGTAGTTCGAAAATAAAGTGACAAATGTTATGCATCTCCTGGATCAAGGTCATTTTTAGGGTTATGCTAGGGTTAGATTAGCCTAGTAATAAGGAACCTAAAAACTATGGGTTGCGTGCAAGAACTGTCAGATGACCGACGCTGGAGGCAAAATATTGAAACACAACGTCACTTTTCTTATTTGTTTACAAGTGATGGAAATAGTTTTCCACAATTATTTTGGCATATGAATCGTATTTTTCCGCTATTCATCAATTCGCTCATGTCATCACATTGTGCTGTTGTAAAATGCACAAAAACTGCAGCGGAAAATGAAGGAATCCGGATGGTACATTATGATTTAAAAGTAGGTACCTACTATAGTCACTCACATATAGTTTTCATTTTTGAAATTTGGTTATTTCTCTGATTTCTAATGGAAATTCCTTCTGCAATAGGAGCTAATAGAAATATACCTGAAATTCCTAGAATAATGCAAGAAGATTTGATTCATGCAATCAATCGGGAGGACTGGGGTTCTATTCTCGAATCGTTCGAATTCAATTCGTATACGAATAAAGAAAGATGCACTTATGTATGTGACGTATATTGAAGTGAAATAGAAGATCGAACTCGTATACGAATATCTCTCGAGAATAGACCCCCTGGTCTGACATGCTGACGATCGTGTGTGTTGTAGACATTTTCAATTTATTAGCAGTATTAGCTTGTATTGCAGAAGTGGCAGAAGGCAGAAGGAATTTTAATAAGGAATGACAACATTTCATAATGATAACAATGTGAGATTACTATTTACCTGAATAATCATATTCCTTAGTCTCTTGCTGCATTTTTTGTGCATTGTACAACAGCACAATGCGAAGGCATGCTTGAATAAATGAATAACGCAAGAAACACGATTCGTATGCCAAAATATTGTGAAAAACTATTTCAACCTTTTGATTCCTCTGTAAACAAATAAAAAAGTGGGGTTGTGTTTCAATAATTCACAGAAGAGTGAGGTTGTGTTTCAATATTTTGCCTCCAGGGTCGTTCATCGTGCACGCGACCTATAGGACCTCAATATAAATAATATCCACTCTGTACGCTGAAGCATTTATCTGAGTTCAGATTTATAGTTTCCTCTACAAAATTAGAAGTCTTCAGAATTTCCAGCAGAAAAATGATGATGAGCTGAAGCTGAAATATTCTCATTGTTTCGTATTGTCGGTCGATTCATCAAGTAATTAGATCCTTTATTGTGTTTGAAAGTGTCTCCCAAAACTTGAAAAGCTCAGAGACTGATATGTGGGTGGCATCGTCGCATGTGCATCCAAAATTATCCATTACAGTCATAAAGAATTCTTGCCCAGAGGCTCCTACTGCTTTGGACCGATATGAAAATTATCTAAAACTATAAAATGAAAACACATAACCTGTGGTATGCGAAACGGTCCTGGGAAAACGCAAACAATATTGTGACTCTGCGCATGCTTCTGATGGTTTCGGACTGTTAATTTTGTGAACGCGAACAAACCTGAGTGATTCTTCCAGGTCTCTATCACCGAACGCGGTGGATCCCAACAGTTTCTCCAGAAGCGCTAGCCATTCCAGTTTCGACACGCATTCCTTGCCGCGCAGGGTGAACAAGAGCCGGACGCCTATCGAGGAGGATCCCAAGATGCAGTTCGCGTCGCGTTCGATGGCCGAACACGAATGGGAGAAGCTGCAGCAGGCCCACGTGCTGGCCAACGTCCAACAGGTAAACTACAATTCGGTAAATACATTTTTTTGTCATATCGATAATAGGGAAATTGCATGAAAAATGCCTGCCTGAGGAAACGTGGATTTCATTGACGTCTGGAATATTATTAACACGTTCAATGACATCGACGCCGTACGGTATTATCTTGCTTCTTTAGGTACGTGACACGACGCCGTTCGGAGTTGAAAATTCAACATTATATGGTGCCAGAACGCAGGGCAGCGTCCAAATAAGCAAATCAGCCAATGTCATTTTGATCCCTACTGTCACAATACTGATTATCCCCTGTCGCTCGCCCTAACCATTCCAAATTAACAGAATTGGCTTTTTTTTTATTTCCAACCTCGGAAAAATAGTGAAATCAAATTAACTGCAAATTTTGTGAAACGTTCAATAGCTCCGGTGGGTAGAAAATCGTGATTTGAAAGAAAAAACAAGAAATACTATTTTATGTGGAAGTTACCGTTTTCCGGCCGGCTTTTTTGGAACCCTTCATAGGAATCATTTGGAAAATTTCATATGGGGGTTGAACCATGAAGAACACTATTATGAGGTCAGTTTTTTGTATTAAATTCCTGATAGGTATGATTTCATAAAAAATTGACCCCTTTTTATTTCAATAAAAACCCATGGCACTGTCGAAAAAAATGTATGTCTCTGACACACTGATCATATTGATGGTCATTCATACTGGTCCCAATTTGGTAAATATCGCAGGACTAAGTTGAATAGAGGGAGGGGGGATGTTTGAAATGAGACACCGATGTCTCCGGCGACTCTTAGCCCTAGTGGCCCATTGTACTAGTAGCTTTTTGCATTGTACCCACTCCATCTCATAATCATACATAACTTACAAATCGAATGTGAAGAAAAGTATCGACCGACTAAAGAATGAAGTATGTCTGTTTGTCGGAATTTCAGCGGTGTCTGATTCTCACAGATGATTTCGCTAGAAACACGTACGAGGCGTGCAGTGTTGCCGTGCGTTGTGTGTTGATGGAAACTAGGGTTATTCCCATTTGATGTGTGAATATAGAGGTTATTGCATGAAAAATAGATATCTTTTAACTGATTTTGATGTGGGTATCCTGTTTTATAGTTTGTTTGTTAATTCAATCTAGAAAGCAGTAACTTGCCTAAAAAACATTGCACATAAGATCCGGAAATGCTCATTACAGGTTGGTATGCTTTAAGGCCTTCCCATGGGCGTCAGCTTAAGATTTGCTGCCTACGCGTTCTGTAAATAATCATTTCCAGATATATCGTAAATTACTGTCATCTTCATTTTTGTTGCATGTTCCTTTCATTTTCTATGTCTTTCCATTGCTCTATGCATAGATCAACGACTCTCTATAGATAACCAACGTACATGCGTTTACCTCTTGTTTCATTTTGCCAGCGCCTCTGGTGTTTGGTAGGTCAACCATTTCGAATAGCGGGAATTTTGAATAATCCATATGATGTTGTATTCAGATATTTCAATCGAGAAGCGCTTGTAAATAGCGAAGGAGATGAAATGTCATGAGCATAGTTCATCTTTTTCAACAATTTACAGACACTGCGTAATAAAAATGGTCAGTAAATGAGAGCAAATGATTATAATGCATCTTTTTTCAACCTGTAATAATCACAATAAAATGATACCTGAAGAATCTTTGGTAGTACTTCTTAAAATTTGGAAAACGATGTCTAGAAGGTCCAGGCACTGCATACTTGTTTAGTCCAAAACTTCACTATTGTTCGAATCAAAAGTCAACTATTGTCGATTTATTTCTTCACTCTTGACTGAAAAATGAAATGATTGATGATACATCCAAACAATACCATTTCAAAACAAAAAAATTCTCAACATAGATGACTAATCGTCATTCGTCAAACAAAATATGTACGTCATTTTGAAACTAATATGCCTGTGCCTACAACACCTGCGCACTCTCACCGATCACGGATCATTTTGTCAAGTGGTCATCTATTGTTTGGTGGCTCAACTAATAATATTGTCCAAGGTTATCCTACCTAAACTGGTCTACATTGATAACGTCTTGGACCAAAATATAGCATGAATTCAAAGTAGAATAACTCTCGAATTTCCTTACTGATTTGAAATCGGTTTTCACCGACGATTAGCCTAATCTCTTCACGGTTGTTGTGGCAATATGAAACTTCTGTAATTTCAGATAACATTGCTACAGGGCGATAATTGGATTGATGTAAAATTGCATTGTGGTCTTCACCTTACCGTTTGAACTGACAATTTTTTAAATTTTTTTTTCTCACCTGTATCCTCTTGATTGATGCTTTCTCTCGAAATGGTTTTGTAATTTCTCGGATCGAAGGTCATATAATGAAGGTACGCATTTTTAATCAGAATGATGCATTTTCGTTAAACTAAATTATAAAATTCTAAAAATTAAGATTGTCGTTCCCATTTTAGTTCAGACACCAGACATCCCCATGACGAAGTAACACTCCATTATTCCACTAGTAACACAGAGAAAGTTATGTTTCATCGACTGAAGACTACGTTATTCTCCATTTCATCATTCAGTATTTCTTGTATCACTTTGTATAGACTACTTCAGAATTTTCTGTGTTCGAACACGATCACATTTCCGACGACTATACGTGCAACGTTGATTCTTCAGAGAAGAATTCCATTCAATAAATCGTCGAAAAAATGCATCGTTTTGAATGAATGTTCATAACACGATTATCAAAGCTCTGAATTTGAAAATTCCGAAAAAGTTTCGGGAGAAAGTATCAATCGAGAGGATACAGGTGAAAAAAAAATGAAAAAAGTTATCTGTTCAAACGGAAAGGTGAAGACCACGATGCAAATTTAGACCCATCCAATTATCACCCTGTAGCAATGTTATCTGAAATTACAGAAGTTTCATATTGCCACAACAAACTGTCAAGAGATTAGGCTAATGATCGTAGGTAATATCCCGAGACCATGACAAATAGCCGACTATTATTTTCTTCATAATTCTATCGAGAGTAACCTTGTATTTTGACAATTTGATGAGACCATATGAATATTAATAATCTGAATAACTCCCGAGAGCTTCAGCTCGAGGGAGTTATTCTATGATTATTAATATGGTCGAATTGAATTGTCTCAAAATACAAGATACTCGAGATGAATTAAAGAAAATAATAGTCTCTATTTGTCAGGGTCGAGTGATATTCAGGAAGATTATTTCATGAACAGTATAAAAATACAGCTCATCTGAAGTTAGTGCTTCTGAACTTTTCTTTCTTGTTTGAAGAAAATATTGCAGGCTTCGCGTTTTCGCATTATGCGCATCCCTGACACCTTTGAATTCTATATATCCAAATGGATTTATCTTACGTTTATGTTCATTGAAGTAATTTCTGTATAGTTTTCCATATCAATTTTAAATATGTATTCTTAATATTCATCACCGTTCTCCTCACCCAATCTTTCAGGATTTGGGCAATCACGAGAGTTGGGGTTAGTCGCACAAAACTCATAGTTTTTCTGCTGGCAAAAAACATGAATTGTTCCAGACAGACTCTTTACTCTTCTCGGTATTTTCTGATAATGATTCGCTAACATAATTACGGATTTCCGTAGTGGAAGTTGACCCAAAACGAGACATTCCAATTTTTGAGTGACTGATAGGTGTGTCAAAGTTTGACAACCGTAGCACTCTTATGATGGCGAACAGAATAGCCGCTCATATTGTTTGTTTACCTAAATAGCCGCTGATATCGCATAGCATGTGACTTCAATCAAGAAATTTCATTGGTCCAGCCAGGTGTGAATGAAATAATCGGTGAAAACCGATTTCAAATTGGTAAGGAAATTCGTGTGTTTCTACTTCAAATTCAGGCTATATTTTGGACCACTCCGATATCAATGTTGACCAGTTTAGTTAGAGGTCTATTGAGTGTCGTTTTTGTATGGCTCTATGCTTGTGATAAAACGCTACTCTCATCCATTTCACCATCACGAATTCTCCTTCCGCCTTCAGGCCTTCGACGTGTCGAGCGACGCCGAAAACGACGACGCCGACAGCATCTTCAGCACGCAGGACCTACTCTCCCCCACGGGCCACACGGACGCGCAGACGCTGGCCATGATGCTGCAGGAGCAGCTCGACGCCATCAACAACGAGATCCGGCTGATCCAGGAGGAGAAGCAGAACACGGAGGCGCGCGCAGAAGAGCTGGAGTCGCGCGTCGGCAGCATGGAGCACATGAACCTGCTGGCGCGGGGCAGGAGCCTCGAGCGGCAGAGTCCTCCAGTAAGCGGTAGATCTACGCCTAAGTCGCACCATTCTCCTCAGAGGGATTATTTGCATAAGTATCACACGGTGAGCTGCGATGGGTCTCTGCCTCTGTATCTCTGTCTTTCCCTGTTTTTCGCTTTGGTTTTCATCGAATCGGGCGACTTTGGTTTCAGAATTGAGGAACTTTCGCCCTATGTTTCAGGGTATAGCTTTGCTATTGTAATATTCGAAACGGATTGCCTTTTGTGGAGCTTATTCAGGATTCATTTACAACTTATTGTTTTCCGATATGAACCTACCAGGTGCCCGATTCTCGAATACGTTGGAATTCGTTCCCATGGGAAAAACTCGATATTTCCCATGGAAATTTGAGATGATGTATTCTTGAACTATTGTATGGGAAAGTATTCCTACTCATTTCAAGAGAACTGCTTCCCATGGTAATACCCATGGAAACAACATGTTTCCCATAGGATACACTCATGTAATACGAAATTATTCTCATTTGTGATGGGCACTGAACCCTAGTGAAAAATTGGAAAAACATAATATGTATTGCAAAACATGGCAAACATAGATGAAATAGACCATCTAGAGGCTTCACAAAATTTGGAAGTGGCTGAAATCCTTGCTAGAAGACTAAGAAGAAGGTTTCTGCCTAGAAGGGACCCATTTGAGTGTTTGTCAGCTGTACAATTTATTAAAGTTTCTCGTTCATCCAAAGACATTACTAGAATATTGATAGGTACTTTAGAATCCTTTCAAGTGAATTGGGGGTGAAATTTTCTCTTAAAGTAGGTATCTTCTGCTCTTTGCTAATACTACCACCTCGTGGTTCTTTAATATTGTTTGTATCAATATCCATTTCGATCAGAGGAAATATAGTAAATATACAATACACAATAATCTCACCGTCGCGAAATTCTGTTATATTATAACCTCAAAATTAGTCAAAATCAAAATGTCAACAATTTCAGTCATTCACAAGTTACCAACATAAATTCCACTTATTTCATTGGTGAATTCATGTAAGCTCAAGAATTTATCTGCGACATACGGCACTTTTTCAATCCCTTGGGAGAAACGATTCCATCTGGTTCAAGAATATGTGTCTTGACAAATTATCATTTCCTATGAGAACTGAAAGCATTGGATCATTCTGCTATAGGATCAAAGTCCTACAGATTCGAGAATTGGGCCCCTGTGATTTTTATACGATAGTTATTTATGTACCAAGGACGAAAAACTGACTTTTAAAGTCAAGTTTGCAAATTGATAGCCGAGGCCTTGGCGAAGGCTAGCAATCAGGCTAGACATTAGACAGTTTTTCGACGAGGTGCATATCAAATTTTATCGTCGATCTCCAACTCTTACTTATATCCTCATCACGGTCCTATTCACACATGAAATCAATCTGATTTCATGAATAATTATTCGACAACAGCACGGACCAGTAAATACCTTGTCGAAAATTAATAAAAATTAATAATAAAATAAACCTATGACGTCAAAACATTATGATCTTTTAGTAAACAAAAAAGTAACGACCTATTTCCAACAAAATAGAAACAAATAAAACAAACTTTCTCATAAAAAAATAATCATATTCCTAATTCTCAATTTGAAAATACTCACAAATATCACAGAAAATAGTTACATAGGTACTTATAAGATTTGAGTATGTAAAAAACAGGAACGAATAGCAAAAATGAACAACAAAAATACAAAACAAATAAAAAAAAATTGCATAAGAAACAAACTCATATAACAGAGGCATATAAATAATTGAATTTGATCTGAATCAGATAAAGTATTGTCCTTTTTTGGTTTATAACTAAAGATTAATAATGATATATTTAATTATATTGATAAATAAGTGTCAAAATATTTTTCAGTAGGTTATGAAATGTTTCAGTAGATCAATATGCAAATCAGGAGATCTACTAAAAATTCTGTAGAACTGGCAACCCTGCAGCGGACAGAAAGTGTTTGCGGACGGAAAGCTAGTGTCTGCGGACGAAAAATACTTGCCTTCGGTAATAGTCAGTTTTTTGTTCGAAAATTAAAAAGTAAAATGTGAATTTTTGTATAGGTCGACGAAAAAAGAATTATTGGTATCAATTTCTTGCAGAGTAATGTAAAGGGCTTTGAAGTCCAGGCTTTGAGCTTTGAGCTTGGGGTTGAATAGATATAAGTAATTGCAATTTATCAATTCCAACTTAATAATGAGGATGAGAAAATGTCTTGAAATCAAAATGTTTTTCAATTCTAGATTTCATAAATGCCATTTTTGTTTTAATTGAAAGTCCATCATGACTTATTTGAACATGCTTGAAAACTTGAGCTTTGAAATCAACACTGACCTTTTTTCTCCAACTACTATATTACTCATATTAGTTTTTTTAAAGAAAGTAATATTCAGTTAGATATCTAATTGGTTCAGTTGAAAATGTGGCCATCTCAATTTTTTCCATTTTCTACTCAGAACACAGGATTTATTTATCGCTTGGTGCGCACGAAAGGAGATCCCTATAATGTTCGAAGAACATCGTGCGTACCTAGGGAGGATAGTGAGAGGAGGTAAGTGTTCGGTTTTTTTTAATTTTTGGAGATTATAAGTTCTCGGAAATACTTCCTTAGCCAATGAATTCCAGAGCTTCTCCGTTCTATAGAGGAACGAGTTTTGGTATTGAGCTGTTCGACATATTTCGAGGTTGACAACGGTAGGATGTGCTGACTGCGCTTGTTGAGTTCTTCTGACTGGTATTGTTAGTCGTGGAATGATAGCAGATATTTCTGAGGAACATTTCCCGTGGAAGTATCTATAGAAAAGTGTAAGTTCGTCGACCTTTCTACGGTGTTCCAATGATGCCAAAGTGTTATTAGATGTGGCATCACCCATCAGGCGAACGGCTCTTCTCTAGATGGAATATAAGAGCATTATCAGTATCATCAATTTCTTGCAGAAACAATTGAAAGGCTTTGGAGTTCATGCTGTGCTTTGAACTGATGGTTGAACATAAGTGATTGAAACTTATCAATCCCAACTTAGTTATGGAGATGAGTAAATGTCTTGAAATCAACATGTTTCTCAATTCTGAAATCCATAGATGCCATTTTTGTTTTAATTGAAAATCCACCACGACCTTATCGGAAATGCTTGAAAACTTGAGCTATACAAATAACATACTAACCTTTCCAGAAAGAGATATAATGCTTGGTATTTTTTCTTCAAACTAATACAAACATTTTACATAGGTGAAAGTTTTTCCAAAAGCAAGTAATATTTATTTAGATCTCTAGTTTATTCTGTTGAAAATGTGTGACTTAATTTTTTTTTATTTACTACTCAGAACACAGTGTGATTATGTATATCATCCTATCTATGGAATAATTCGGTGTATTTGTTCAGAAGACTGTTAGTTATCGATTTTATCAGATAAAACAAATAGAAATATGCCTTAAATTTTCTCATTTAAAGCATATATACAATATATCGAAGACTGGAACCTTTGGCACGATAATACACTACACTGTTTTACCACTAACCAAACCGATTTTTTATCGCCTTGACACGTGTTTCGCTAATTATGTTAGCATCTTCCGGAGAAGATTAAACAAACAAAAACAGTTTTAATCTTCTCCTGAAGATGCTAACATAGTTAGCGAAACACGTGTCGAGGCGTTAAAAAATCGGTTTGGTTAGTGGTAAAACAGTGTAGTGCATATATACAATAAGCAAATGAAAAGATATACCCAACATTCCACAATAATTCATGGCATGGCAGTGTATTTGAGTATAAATACCACATTCAATATGATTCATGTTGGTAAAAAAAGCAAATTAAGGATGTAGTGATTTTCTTCATATAGAAGTAAAATAAATGAGTGTTTCTATTGGAAAATTGATGTTATTCTGAATTTGTTAATCAACTTTCTATAATTCTGGAAAGAGTCTCACCATATTCATATGACTTTGAATTGAAATAGGTATTGTGATTAATCATTCATTTAATTATTTTTCATATGAATCTGGTAACATCATCAACTGTTGATAGGCTACAATTCAGATGTTTGTTCGTTTATCTCAGTAGGTAATGACTTTGAAAGCATATGATAGCAACCACTGAAACTTTTTCAATTATACAATTTGTAAAAATTCATAGGCATATATATAAGTTTTTCTACTCACATAACTAAAATGGCATTTAGCGTACGGATATGTACCACGCTAAATGATCGATTAATCACGAATTGTCGATCTGTGATTTATTCAGAATATTAAACACGTTACCATGGCAACACGATTTCTTAAACACATTCACCATGGCAACACAGTTCATTAAACACAGCTTCAGTAGTTTGAGACATGTCGGGCCTGTCAGTTGTATTAACTGTCAACTGTTATTTTCAAATTTTGTATCAGAATCATTCAAACAATATTCGTTTGTATCAGAATTCTTCATTTAAAATATATGCGAAAAGTATAGACGAAAGTGAAATCGGAGAGAATGTTCTGGTACTTGCATATCTCCAAGAAGTTTAAAAATGAAGCATCCATCTTTGAGAACAATTTATTTATTCTGCGCTAAGCATGACAATAAACGTGAAACAAAGGTTAGTAAGCAATGGACTGAACACATCTACAACCAATATCACTCATACGTGTCTCGCTGGTTGTATGCAGTTGCATGTATTATGTTCTCAAGTCCCATTCCTTTAGAATTATTTTGTAAGTTAGCAAGAATAGCAGGTATGTTAATGTAATTTTCGGAGTTCGTAGAAAAATCATAGTATGTAACGCGTTTATAAACTCTTCTAGACACTCGTTTATTAAACACTCGCTCCGCTCTGCTCCGCTCGTGCTTAAAATACTCGTTACTAAAAGGACGTTTATAACACTTGTTACATAATATACTATTATAATCTACGAAACTGCAAGAATTTTTAAACTGGAATAATTAGACACAGAGGGTGAGAAACTCTAAGTAATTTCCACAAGATGTTCAAATAATTGAACAAAAATCATCAATAACGGGGAATGATAACTAATTCCCTGGCTAATGCAACACAGAATATTGAATCCTTCCTAGTTTCTGGTTTCAAATAATTGAACAAAAATTATCAATAACGGGGAATGATAACTAATTCCCTGGCTATTGCAACACAGAATATTGAATCCTTCCTAGTTTCTGGTTTCGACCTATCAGTCCTCACCAGTGTAGGATTGTCACCATACAGCGTTCCGAAGATCTCCGTCTGATTGCACAGGCAGGCATTTATCTGCGTAAATATATCGTCCAAGATTAACTTATGACGAGCGACATCCAGAACAGAAGGAAAGAAACACTCCTGAAACGAAATCCTATTCCAGTAAAAAATCAGCATTGTTGATTGCCTCACTGTCATTATTTCAACTACAAAAGAGCCAACAAAATTCTCAAAGTTGAATAATTAGTTAACAGAGCATAAAGACTTGAAATAATTTCTTTAAGTTTCTGTCTCTGTTAGTCCTTATGAAGTTCCTCTGTTATGGTAAAAACAGCAAATCGATTATTTATGCATTTATGTTCTAGCCTAAACTTGATATGAACGAGATGCTTGAAGGTTTACAATTAGTGTGAACTACTTTGTAAGCACTATAGTTCAGCTGTCGAAGCTCCAATTATATTTTCATAAACTGTTTTGAATAGTATTATTGGAACATATAAATGTAGTATTAATTTCAGTGGTGGATTCTTCTGTTCCATGCATGCATTTTTTCAAGCACCCTTTCATTTCTTCCTTTTCTGTGATCATAAAGCCAACTCTTCCAGACTTTAACAACTAACCAAACTGAAACTATGGATTGGATTTAAAAATATCGTTTTGTGTGTGAAAATGTTCTTTGTAGGCACCGGCCAGTATGTCTCCAGCGCATTTGCAACAATATCATTCGACATTGAGCCCTGGCGCCTTATCTGAATCGTTGCCATCTAGTCAGGTTTGTTTAACTAACGTATCGAATATTAACTCTAAGGTAATGTTTACCTATTCGGTTAGAAATGCCTAAACACTATGGTGAAAATGTTGCTTTGGTGTTCAACCTGCTTTGAAATCTGATATTCAAGATTTATTTAGTTTTTCATTCATTCAAGTTGAATATTGTTGAATGAAAATACATACATAAATCATATAAAATTTCACATGGGTGAATGACCTAGCTTTTTGTGACTTTACATATTACTTTTTTTTTAAATATCAACAACGACGGCATGCTATCTTGTTCTCCTTCTATTTTTTCATTTGTTAGCTTGTCGCTAGCTTTATTCTTCAACATCAGCTATGTTCAGACTAGATTCAGAATATACGTCACAGTTTGCCTCCTCAAAAATTAGAAATTGCTTTATTTTCAAAACAAGGACAACTTACCGATCGTCATTGTGTACAGCGTGGACATAAAACGTATTTTATGTAAATTCATCAGAAGGGATAATATACTGCTTTTCAGTTTGTGTCTTGAATATCAGTCTAAAGCGAATACACTTTACTTCTCCAATATCGAATGCCGATTAATAGTGTTTTTTCATTATACTGAATACCTTACACACACTTTGTTGGCTTTAACAGACATCACACGCACATATTGGGTATTTTACCGACCTCTCTCACTCACTAGCTGCATGTTAGTGTAACTGTTCACAATTCCCATGGAACGACATTCTAGGTTTTCATTATACATTGGTTCAAAGGCAATGTACAATTGTAATAGTATTTGCATCTGAGCACGAAATGAAATCTAAAATGGCATTCCATTCTTTCCTACGTTTCTTCGATCTTTCTTCACTGTTATTCACTGCAGATCCAACTGGCTCCCATGTCTGCTGAGATGTCCAGGGAAGAGATGCACATGGGCGACAGCAGTAGCGGGGGTGGAGCTTCACCATTGACAGCCAGATCTTTGAGGTTAGAAAGGGTCGCGCAGGCGCTGGCGCACAGTCAAGAGGAATTGCGAAGGTGAGCTTAGTTTATATTCCTAACTTGTATTAATAATTATTGTAGGCAATTTATTCTCTGCGTTCTGATTAACAATTCAAAGAACGAAATTGAAAAAACAAACTGAATTTTAAATCATAGATCATTACATAATCATTACATCATAATTACTCAATTATGATCAACAAACACATGGATATAGAGCTAATAGACTCCTATTCACACTGTGTGAATAATTGATGAAATTGAAGTATAAATGAATCCAACTTTCTGTAAATTCATTACTATTTATGGTGATTTCCGAGAACTTGATTTCATTTTATACTTCCTAATGTTCCCAATGGAAGAGATTAACATGTGAGATTGAACTGTATCGTTGTTTTTCTCAGAACCTGAATTCGTTTTAAAGCATTTCCAAGTGTTTCTTCTGAAATCAATTATGTAATCGCACTTCATTGAAAAATATCTGAAAAAACAGTGGAGTGGGTCGGATTATCTCTTTGGAATATCCAATATAACTAAATTCTGATGTTCCTTGATTTCTTCGGAAGTATCAAACCATCCATCGTTGCTTTGAATTGAATTTCGTTCTATCTCTAATTGTTGCTGTTCTCGTGGACTTATTTTTATTTGTGAGATACTGCATTGATTACTAATTGATATTATTCATTTACCATGCTAGACGAACTGCTGGAAGTGGTATGCCACCAGGAGTTTCATACAGGTTAATACACATTATTGTTATCTAGTAGGCTCATAAGAATCTGACTGGCAATGAAAAAATAATTTGTCGATCATATTCTCCGTTGTCTGCAGCTAAAATTACCTATGATTTTGTCAATTGACATGTTGGGAAAATTAAAACGATTGTTGATGGTTATTCCACTCATTTTGAAATGAATTTAACCGATCTGACATCGCCATGATTCATAATGTTTGATTCAAGTGATGATCATTGAAATGTTGCTGAAATTTCACGAATTTCGGGACACGGTTCGTTAGGAAGTTCATATTTTCTGAGACTTTTATTGTAGCACTCTTGAAAACAATTGGGAAATTGCTGTTGTTTCTGATTTGTTGTATAATATATCACCATTATGAATAACAGTGACCCTTGAGGTGAAGAGGAGAATCAATAATTGTGTGATTTATCTAATTTTGTGTTTTCATCATTCATATTAGATTACTGTGCGTCTAAGAAAACTGGAGATCTTCAGATCTTTCAGAATTTCATGCTTGTATGTCCAACATGTTACTTAGTTTCGTACACCAAATTTAATTTTCACATTATAAAAGAAGAAGAGTTTACACTTGTACCATCTCGGAACTACCTTGTTCCACTAACTCAACATTGTGAAGGTTGTGATCGTACAATAAATTATAATTAGTTCAATAATTAATAGCACTTGACACATTATAATATAACCGATAATTTCATGATATGGGTTGAAATTTCCTTGGCAATCTCGTTCTAATTTTTCTCACATTCTGCATGCATGCACACCTCAAGAACAATAAATACTGAAGATAGTTACATTCCTCTATTCCGACGTTATCCAGCGGCCTGAAAACAAACATTGGTGCGATACTTCGATCTTTCTTTTTGCGTTGTTTTAAGTGGTAAAGAAGTACGATATAAAAATAATAATTGCACACTAAAAACGAATTTCAGAATAACTTACACGTGATGGAAATGATACACGTCCTTTGATAGACAGATGAGGAATCCATATAAATCCATTGTGTGCCACTGATTTTAATGATTTTGTGGAAATCTTATGTTTTGTGGAATATTTTCTATCATTATAGTTTTGCTCTCAAGTAACGGCTTAGTCAATTTGAACAGCAGTTCATCATCTTGAGTGTTTAACGTTCTTGGGCATCTCACGTTCTTTTTCTCGTCAAGCTCGTCTTCTGAAGGTGCGGTCACATGCTAGTATATTCTAGATATAGATCTTTAACAATTTTATTCAATGAAAACAGTATCCTTGCTTATCCATATGAATATCGGTTTCATATTAAATCGATCAGGTATTGAATCAAAACATATACACCGATAAGGTTACCCTACGTAATAAGTTCATGAACGATCGCAAATGCATATTTAAACTGCTAGAGTAAGTTAATAAACGCTTTGGAATCTACAATTCTTACTAAGAGTAAGTTTATGAAAGCACCCTAGCATGTGAACTCATCTCTTTAGTTGTTAGCCTCGAAACGTAGATCGTAGTGTGTTTAGTGTGTTTAGTCAAAGGGGGCCACAGACAGAACCTACTGTGCTAGCGATTAATCACATGATTTTGGTAATCCTAAGCAAATTTGATGTTTTGTGAAATATTTTCCATCATTATGATTTTCACTCACGTAACGGCCTAGTCGATAAATAATAATAACCATAAGTTATAAGAGTGTTTGTCTCGGGAACACCCCACGAGAAACACTTAAGGTTATATTATTTCTAAGAGAAACTAGACTATTGAGAAAAATATGAATCCACACAGTTACGTACCCACCTGTAGGAAATAACAAGTATGAAAAACTTGAAGATGAAGGCTAATGACCATAGTAGTCGAAGCCATGGACCACAAAAAAAAAAAATAACCATTCAGTTCTATTATTTGCTTGTTGTGGTTCATTGTCTCCAGTGCTCAAAACTCTTGATCCGATATCTTCGCTCATATGAAAACGTTGTGAAATGGATGGTAACTGCAACATTCAGTTGAGTTTCAGGTGTACATTCTTTAGAAACAATCACCTCTTTCCTTTCGTCACAGCAGCCAGGAGAACCTGAACGGCACATACTGTCGTGTTAGCGTGAAATGACGCGATTTTGATAGTTATGTGTGGAATATTTTCTATCATTATAGTTTCTTTCCAAGTAACGGCACAGTCAATTAAAAATAATAACCATTGTTGAATTCAGTACGCTAATTAGTTTGTTTTAATTCATTGTGTTGAGTGTTTAATGTTCTTGCGCATCCTATATCCTCGCTTCTATGTCCTGTCGAGCTCGTCTTCTAAAGGTGCGTTCACATGCCAGTTTATGCACATAGCAATAAGACTTAATAAAAAGGGAACATTTGTTGTCATTTGTGATTCTTTGTAAATACCCTCAATATCTTTATGACAGTGTTTATTGAGTAGGAAACGGAAATGGTGTTCCACCACTGTTCCCATACTACCTAATATATTGAGTAATTTGACTTAGTCCATGAACATGTTGGAGCTGCAACGATCAAAGATATGAAATTTTCTCTCCTCAATGCATTAATGTTGTTAGTTTTCATCTTTTGCAGGAAGATTGAATGAATCGGGCACTGATCATATGAAAATGTTAGAAAACTGATAGTCACTGCAACATAAAGTTGCATTTCAGTATACTACATTATTTAAACAACATTTTCCACATCTTGCGTAATTGTTTATCATCTGTAATCAAATATCAGCATAGGAAATCAATATAGTATTCACCACCACTGTTCCCACACTGCCGAATATGTTGATGTAGAACCAATATGACTTTGGTTTTGTTAAACAGTCCAATTTTTTTTTCGAACAATAGAATGAAATCGACTAAAATTGTTCTAAAATTATTCTAAAATTATTCTAAAATCGTTCTGAAATTGTTCTATCCGTCATTCGGTTGTCCCCTCACGGGCAACTCTCAGAGGTCTTCAAATGACTTGTGCGAACAAGGAATGACGGGGGCCTTCTTAGGCCATCAGAAAAATGTCTGCAGTCGTTAGGATTCGAACCCACGACCGGCACGCCTTCATGATTAGAATACTAACGCTTCTACCACGCGGCTCCCTGTCCCACTAGCTATATGACCTCGTCCTGCATGTGAACGCGTCTTTTTAGTCATTAGCCTAGAAACGTAGAGCGTAGTGTGTTTAGGCAAGGGGGGCTACAGACGCACACTCCGCCATCACCTCTCTCCTCTCGTCACAGCAGCCAGGAGAGTCTGAACAGGAATGCGGTCATGGGAGGCGGCGGCGTGTCCATGATGTCGTCGAGGGACATGACGGCGGCGGCGGCTGCCGCTGCGGCGGCACAGAAAAAGAAGGGCATCAAGTCGTCGTTGGGGAGGTTCTTCAGCAAAAAAGAGAAGGTTAGTCTCTCACTCTCTCTGACACATACACTCACACACAAAAACATCAATATGTATACAGCATTTTATTTTCGAATGAGCTAACTAAGATAATTAGGAGTTTGAAACACTACTCGACGAGCTCTATTCTGTAATGTTGAAAAATGTTATCCTATGGTCCGTTGAATGGGTTGATATTTATCAAATTGATATGTTATGCACCACAAATAGTTCCAGATGGAAACTGAAGTCATAAAACAAATGATGATACACGAGCTTTCGATTTTATGGTGCCCAAGCGCATGAACAGGGAGTTTTCAAATGTTTCAATCCTCATGTCAAATTCTGATAAACATGTTCTCTTCTAATCATTGCTAATTTATCTTGTGGCGTAAACTTGGGAAACTAGTTCTGAGATAATATTTGTCAAATTTCAATTTATTTTACCTCTCTGGAACAGATGTTTGTCGAGGGCATAGATATTTTACTTTTCAGGAAGGGGAGATGTGATGAGAATCATTCAGAATTACTTCAATAAAACATGAAATGACACAAAACAATTTAAAATAGGTTGTCAGTGACTGGAAATGTACTAGATCTTCCAGTTCACATATATAAATGGGTCTGGAGAACATTCACAATAGTAGATTGTTCTATTTGAATCAAATGTGATACTTTGTTTGCCAAGCGACAATTTTCGATCCGAATGGAACATGCTATTTTTCTGCAACTGTAAGAATTAACACCTAACTAAAATAAATATAAATGAAGTAACCACCAATGTGACTCACTTGACAGATTATTATAATAATATGAGTGAGTAGATTGAAACAAGGCCTCAAACTACTTCATTTTGTTACAATTTGTGTTGACATTATGCCTCATTTCAACAGGGACCACCGAAGAGGTTTATTCAATTTCCAAGGATGTTACAATTCTAGTTTCAATATAAATATTACAAATTGACTATGTAATCGTGTTTGAGTTTCTTGTTGAATATAATGAATACTTATCCATGTTGTTTATTCTTGATGACCTAGTACATCCTTTTTGTTCCTAGGTATTTAAGTTCAACTTAAGCTCTTAGAAACTGAAACTCTTGCCTAGCAACCTACCTATTTCTGTTTCAGTAATTGAAACGTCAACTCAAAGAGCTGCTTTTGTATCGAAAATGGACGACTTTTGAGTCAGTTGCAGAAAAAATATATTTCATCTCGCAGGAATCTTTCTGACTGAGTTCACTCAACTTTTGAAACAATTCCCTCGACTTCCTCGAAGGAAACTAATTCTTCATTTTCTAATCATAGCTCCATTCATTGAGTCACGTTTTGTATCATTAGGATTGTAAAGTACTCATTTTTATTCTAGGTGAAAGGAAAAGAAGTGACCGGACAAGATAACAGCTTGAATTTGAGCCAGGGCAGTATTTGTATGCCAGATGGTGACATCAATGATTCAATGAGCATATCTGGAAAGATTGGCCAGAAAGCTGAGTTTGATCGAAGACAGAAGAAAAAGTGGGTGTATGATATCTTTTTTCTCTATAGTTCTATTAATAATTTATTTTTTTCCATACTAGAATTGCCTAATCAATCTATAACGATCTCATTTTATTTATGGTAGGATAGTAACAACGATTATGAAAATTGGTGAACGTTGAATGATATTCTTCACATTTTCCAACATGATTTGTTCATCTGTTAGTTCAATCCAAATATTTACATCTATGAATTTCTCGTGAAAAAGTGCATTGACAAATTGTCTACACCTCATAGTAAGGAAAACACAAATGGCGCGATTCCACAACCGCCAGAAATGCCGCCAGATGTTCCTCTGTGTAATTTAATATCAAAGATGAAGCAGATCCTAATGAATTTGATATGGATATTGAATTCCAACAAGATGGAGCACCACCACATTACACTAGACAAGTGAGAAACTATTTGGATAATATTTCCTCCAGTTGTTGGATTGGTCGCCTAGGTCCTATGGAATGACCAACTCGCTCGCCAAAGGACCCCGCACTTTTAGTACGTAAAATGGTTCTCGGTGAAATTTTCTGAATTTTCAGTATATTGTAGAATTCGATGAACTGTTTGAACCTGCAGAATCGTAAAGTTCTTTGATGAACAGATTCTGAGATACAGGGCGTTGAAGTTACAAATCGGTATTTTTCATTTAATTATTTTCTCGAAATTCAAAGATGCCAAGTACAATTTTCTTCGCTCATATCAATAACGAACCTCCATATTACTCAACATAATTCAGATGGTTCAGATGATGTAATTGTTTACAGAGTGAAACATATAAACATTTCAGTGATGTCTGAAAATTCGATGTAATAATGAAATATCGAAAAAATAATTCAGGCATGCAATATACTATTCTCATTCCATCATGAATCACAATTCATACATTTCATACAGGGTGATTTGAAAAATTGGTGACACCTAAGACCGATTTATTCATACACATCCTGTATATTCGAGTGAATTGTTAACCTCCCAAGATAGCTGATACCGTATGAACATGATTTCGTTGAGATATATAGGGTGATCATGAAGATTTTTGATGATGAAAATGACAAAAAATCGTGTTTTTTGAAATCACCCTGTTAGTCATGATCAACTCGGTGAAATTCCCTAATTATTTTTTAATATATTCATCATTCGCTCCTCAACGCTGTCTTAAAAATTCAGTTTCCTATCATGACGGGTGTCATAGTTATTAATTCAGGAACTTACCATTTGCATGAAGAGTTGAAGAGACTTGTTCACTTACATTCGCATAGTGGCCGATATTTTTCACAAATAGTGAAACGTGAGAATCTGGAGACGAAAATGAGTTTAGTATTCATATACAGGGAGAACATTGGAAATTCAATAACAATAGCAGATATATGAATTTAATAATATTAATATAATGTACAGATAGTTAGGCGAATTTCGATTCCAGGATTCAACTCTCCCTATTAGAAATGGAAGCGTAAAAGACCGAATAATTCTCCTATCTCCTAGGTATTGTTCGTTCTTTATTTTGGCAGAGCTTGTATACCAACGAAATTCGCCTAACTATCTGCACATTATATTAATATTATTAAATTCATATATCTGCTATTGTTATTGAATTTCTAATGTTCACTCTGTATATGAATATCAAACTCATTTTCGTCTCCAGATTCTCACGTTTCACTATTTGTGAAAAATATCGGCCACTATGCGAATGTAAGTGAACAAGTCTCTTCAACTCTTCATGCAAATGGTAAGTTCCTGAATTAATAACTATGACACCCGTCATGATAGGAAACTGAATTTTCAAGACAGCGTTGAGGAGCGAATGATGAATATATTAAAAAATGATTAGGGAATTTCACCGAGTTAATTATGAATAACAGGGTGATTTCAAAAAACACGATTTTTTGTCATTTTCATCATCGAAAATCTTCATGATCACCCTATATATCTCAACGAAATCATGTTCATACGGTATCAGCTATCTTGGGAGGTTAACAATTCACTCGAATATACAGGATGTGTATGAATAAATCGGTCTTAGGTGTCACCAATTTTTCAAATCACCCTGTATGAAATGTATGAATTGTGATTCATGATGGAATGAGAATAGTATATTGCATGCCTAAATTATTTTTTCGATATTTTATTATTACATCGAATTTTCAGACATCACTGAAATGTTTATATGTTTCACTCTGTAAACAATTACATCATCTGAACCATCTGAATCATGTTGAGTAAATATGGAGGTTCGTTATTGATATGAGCAAAGAAAATTGTACTTGGCATCTGATTTGTAACTTCAACGCCCTGTATCTCAGAATCTGTTCATCAAAGAACTTTACGATTCTGCAGGTTCAATCAGTTCATCGAATTCTACAACATACTGAAAATTCAGAAAATTTCACCGAGAACCATTTTACGTACTAAAAGTGCGGGGTCCTTTGACACCTTTTGACTTTTTCTATGAGGCAATTTGAAGGAAAACGAAGGAAACTGAACATACCTCAATATTGGATATACTTCAGAGAAAAGTAAATATTTGAAGAAGTATTGACGAAATTGTGTTCGAAAATTTTCGGTGTGAAATATTGGATATGTACATTAGATATTTTCATGGACGATGCTCTTCTGAAATATCAACAATTGTTCCTCCCTTGGCAGTCCCCGCGAGATTAACACGTCGAGTTGAGGCTTCGCACTCCTTCGTGGTCACTTTGGAGACCTGCAGAACATCTCTTTCCAAAGACTCGTTTTTCCAACGAACAGCGAAGCTCTGGAACACATTGCTTTGGGAGGTATATAACCTCCAGAAATTTAAGAAGAACACCAACTCCTACCTCATTTCCCTTGGTTCTCAGTCTCACGATGTTCTCTCTCAGAACATAAAAAAATATCCTCTCGAGCATCTTCTGAACTGAACTCGGCTTATTTCCTCAAGTTATTAAGTTAAACGTCGATGTATTCAGGTAATCATTGAATGTTCCGTCATTTTGCTGTAGGTATATTGACTTAGTATTCTAGGGCTATAAAGTACTCGACAGGAGCTTCAAAAGGATGTGTCACACTTCCCATTTATTCATAATTTCTCAAATGGCGCCTAGTCGCTTTCTTGAGATTTTTTTCTGCCAATTTCACTCCAAAATATAGTATTCATGCATGAATTTCATTATCCCAAGTTTCAATTTTTTGAGTTAACCCGTTCAAAAAATTTACAGGGAGGGGGGAGCTTAAGAGAAAAGCACTGTATAGGTTATTCTGTAAGATTTTACGTGGGTAATGGCGTAATCGGATGGATTAATACATTGTGATCATCATTATTGTTCTGCAGGGAGCGCGACTACAGACACGAGCTGCTCGCCGAGGCGATGAAGGCGGGCACACCGTTCGCCCTGTGGAACGGCCCCACCATAGTCGCCTGGCTGGAGCTGTGGGTGGGCATGCCGGCATGGTACGTGGCCGCCTGCCGGGCGAACGTCAAGTCGGGCGCCATCATGAGCGCGCTTAGCGACACGGAGATCCAGCGAGAGATAGGTGAGTCACTTATGTTATTACTCGATTTCTGGTTCAGTTTGTGAAGAGGTGTCCTCAAGTTTTGTAAATACCGGGTGACATAGGGTATCGGGTCACCCTTGTAACTTCTGCATTCGTGAACGGATTTTTCTGGAAGTTGGTACAGGTATAGTAGTAGTAGTAGTTTATTCTGTGTGATAAAAGAAAGTTCATACAGGGCTTTCATTTCAAAACTTACCATCCCTGCATATCTTCTGATCTGCGAAGATTACACTTTTCGGCATAAACAGGTCGATTTAGATATCGAGGGGGAAGTAAAATCAATTGAATGTTATGTTCATCCCCTTCATCCCCAGACAGCCCTACTTTAAAATCTCAAACGGCACCCCCTACTTTGAGATACATAAAATTGAAGGTCTATCAATGATCAAATCAACCAGGTGAAAAAATATTTATTTCGTATACAGGGGGAGTCATGAGGTACTGTACATACTCCTACCACGAATAGAAGCCCCTAAGGGGAATATCGAATGATCATCTGGAGTTTTCCTTCTCTTCTGCAATGATAAACAGGGTGATTTATAGGATTGAGCGAAAAAACATTTTTGTCACAACTTTCCAACAGCTTCTTTGATTCATTTCATTTTTTCACGGAACATTAGGCACTCCAACACCAATAGACTAACGTATACAGAATTGAAAAAAATCCAGGAGGTGTTGGAAAGTTGTGACAAGAATATTTTTTCGCTCAATCCTATAAATCACCCTGTTTATCATTGCAGAAGAGGAGGAAAACTCCAGATGACCATTCGCGATATTCTCCTTGGGGGCTTCTGTTCGTGGTAGGAGTATGTACAGTACCTCATGACTCACCCTGTATAGGAAATAAATATTTTTTCACCTGGTTGATTTAATCATTGATAGATCTTCAATTTCAAGTATCTCAAAGTAGGGGGTGCCATTTGAGATTTCAAAGTAGGGGTGTTTAGGAGTGAAGGGGATGAACATAGCATTCAATTGATACTGTTATTTTACTTCAAAATCGAGATTTTTCAATTTGAGGATTTTTTTGTGTCGAAACTATTCATTATCGATCAGCACGGCATATCTTAACTTCCGATTCACTATCTACTGACATTCAATTGGAACAGATACAGGGTGATCTGATTTTGGAAGCACCCTGTATTTTTTCCAATTAAATTCCAGTAGATAGTGAATCAAGAGTTAAGATAAGGACATGTAAGCAGTTTTGATCTATAATGAATAGTTTCGACACAAAAAAATCCTAAAATTGAAAAATCTCGATTTTAAACACCCTATATCTCTGTAATCATCACTGCTAGACCCCAAGTGTGATGAATTCGTGAAATCAGCCCTTCAGGATTAATCTAAAAATGCAATAAAATACAGGATGTTCCATTTGAAATAACGAAGTAGCTAGTTGTTTTTGATAGAAGTGGCAACACTGTATCGATGAAAATATTTTAGACGGATAGAGAATGTTCAATTATCAAAGCATCCCAATTTTCAGAGTGTTCTGTCTTTTCATTCTCCAGATACCTCTAATAGGCCATCTACCGTGAATCACCCTGTATGTACTTATTTCAAAAACACCTATGTCGTGTATGATCTGATTCAATTATGTTACTCCATTGAACAAATTTATCGGCTTTAAAACATAACATTTCTATATCTGTAAACAACTTTGCAGAACAGCGAACCAAAAATGCATCAAACATAAATGCTAAGGAAACAAAATGTTCCAACTTCAAATTATCTTCACACAGGGTCTAAATGAATAAGTGCGAAAAATCAAGGCGGGATTGCTTGTCATATTCTATGAAAAACAGTTCATTTTTGAGATACAGTGCGTTGATACTTGGAGTATCAATTGTTTCTGTTGTTTTTGTGACAATGCCAACATTCTTTCAAATCGGGAAATATACAGAGAATTTAAAGATTGAAATGGTAAGCATATCTTGAATTCAAAGGTATCGTTGAGAACGTTGTTCATCTGAAATATTTGCGATATCCTACGACCCCCGCTTAATTTGAAAGTGTGTTATTACTTCAACTGAAACACACTGTATTTTATGACATAATTAAAATCAAAGGTCCTTATAGAGTTATTTGCACGTCATATTGATTTCTTTCACGTCCCACAATTCGCTAAAAAGTTACTCGAACAATGAACGGTACTAGACATCATACAGAGTGATAATAAATTCATCCTGATTTGACAAATCACAATATTCATGTCATACATCCTCCTGTTGGTGACTCGGTAGCTGCGGTTTGCACTAACTACCTATGAAATAGAAGAAGTGGAGCATTTTTATTTGACATGAGAGGTAGCATAAATCAACTATAAAACTTTCTACATATCAAGAGATCAGTAAATAATGATTCATGAGTGTTAATAGTAGTAGTTACTGTGGTAACTATCTGTTATTTCATGTTCTATCCCAGATCCTTTGAACTATCAAACGAAATCGAAATTATTTAAACTGAGAGCATCATCCTGTAGATCGTAAAAAAAAATATCAGTTGCCATTTTGGGTTATTTTCTAATTTTATCATACTGAATGGGGATATCCCAGTTCATTTTTAGGCGGCCGTCTCCTATTCTCTAGCATCCAAAAATTGATCTTCGATCTCTTATCTTCCATGACGTGTCTTTTTATTATGAGACTCTTGATGAATATTTATCAACTATCTTTGTCGATAAAGTATATTTTTATTGATCGATTGATTTGGTTACCTCTCCCACACAGGTATAAGCAACCCTTTACATAGGCTGAAACTGAGGCTCGCAATACAGGAGATGGTGTCTCTGACGTCCCCATCTGCTCCGAAGACATCTAGAACGACCCTAGCATTCGGCGATATGAATCACGAATGGATAGGGAACTACTGGCTGCCTACCTTGGGTCTTCCTCAATACAGAACGACGTTTATGGAGTGTCTGGTCGATGCGCGAATGTTGGATCACCTGACCAAAAAGGATTTGAGGGGACAGTTGAAAATGGTGGATGGGTTTCATAGGTATGTATTCATGATTATTCCACTCATTTCAGACTATACGATCTTGATTGGTTGTAATATCTGTGTTTATAATGGGAAAACATCATATTCAAATTTTTGTATTTTGACTGTTGATTGATGATGTGTTTTCGATTTTGTATTCCTCTTTCTCATTGGTAGTTCGATGAAAAATAAAACAAAATGAATTGACAGCAGCAGGTTGTCATGGATGTCATAATATTTTCATATTCAGGAATGAGTACCACTTGACACTAAAGTTCAGTCAAAATCGTGGTAGGCACTCACTTTTAATTTTTATCGAAGAATTTTGGGAAATTAAATGATCGGCATGGGCTCGTGTGGTTCCCAATCAACATAATGTTTTTCCCAAAATTGAAGGAATTTGTATTTCAATACTAAACTTCTCTCATCACATACGAGAACTTTTTTTTTTTTTTGGTGGGTCCAATATTTATTTATTTATTTATTTATTTATTGAACAAATAACTTCCAGACAGAATAGGCTCTGGTATAAGGAAGTACATAATTATATACCTATAGGTAAACATATCATTATACAAAATATATCAACAACTGTAAATTGACAAACAAAGAATAATATTTGTAAAAAAAAAAAAATAAAAAAAAAATGGCATGTTCAATTTTATCCAGTTCGCTCAGAAATAATCAATTTTTTCACTTCATTTTTGAATGAACCTATGTTTCTGCAATTTTTTATATTGTCAGGTAGTTTATTGAATTCAGTTAAGGCTGAATGAGTGAATCTTTTTTGTCCGATAATGGAGCTAGCGGCGTCAAGATGAAACAAGTTTATTGTCTTGTTTCATGATTATGAATTTCAGAATCAACATAAAAGTCGACTTCAATTTTTTATTTATGATATTATATGATATTTTGAGAGTTTCAATTCTATATATTTCATCTAAAGAATACGTATTTGTTATTTCAAACAATTGATTGGTTGGTGTATCAAATGGGAGACGATACAATACTTTTAACGATTTTCTATATAATGTTGATATTTTATTGAAATTGTTCTTTGAACAAGTTCCCCAAACATTTATTAAATAGTTGATACGACTCAGTATATGAGAGTAGAGAATCATGTTTGCAATTTTAATATCAAGTTTGGGACATCTTCTCAATGCACCAATAATTGGAGATATTTTTTTTGTCAGAACATCAATATGTTTGTCCCACTTCAACCTGTCATCAAACCAAATTCCAAGATATAACTTGAAATCGCGAATCTGATTGTTATATTTAGGCATTAACTATGGGTGAAACCTACAATGTATATGACTTGATGTATAATTAAAGTAGTCCTCCAAGAGATTTTTTTGGAACTTGACGTTTCTCAAATTTCATAATCATATAATTGCTCGAATTATTCAGAAATGACAATGAAATGTGCACAAATTCCAGTTTATTAGTCAGCAATATTTTGCGATGTACACCATTGATTTCAAATATATTTTTCAGGACAAGTTTACAATATGGCATATCATGTTTGAAGAGGTTAAATTACGATAGAAATGCTTTAGAAGAGAGGAGGAAAAACTGTGAAAATGTACTATCAGATGTGCTAGTGTGGAGCAATGACCGTCTGATAAAATGGGTGGTATCGATAGGCTTAAAGGTGAGTAATATTGATTGTTCATTCAGATCAAATGTTTCAGAAGTCCGCGGAAGTTCAATCGAATTAAACTCAGGATTGATTAAAAAACAAAGTAAATAAGAAATTAATTGTGATCACTTCAACATGTCCTTGAATGGTACTATGTATTATTGTGTAGTAGTAATTGGCGAAGGATTACCGAGAATTATAGTACTTTCTAGTGTAATCCATGATATAACTCATTATGTAGATAATTGACGATTGAAAAAATCAAATTTGGTAGTGTTTTATGGTGTCTTTATCGTGAAAATGTGCTTATCTTCACTTGAATTCTAAAAAGTTTCAGTCGTGATAATAGTAATTTTTCATATTCTCTTGTACTGACTCAAGCTCAAGAGATTTACTATTCAAGTGAAGGAACATGAGAATTTTTTAATCCAATCTGATAAATGTCCAAAGAGTTGAAATAAGCTTATGGTGAGATTTGTTCAGTGTACTAGTTGGCCAGAAGTCTCAATTAGAGTATTTATAGCATTTAATATTGAATGCAAAACATGTTTATCTGCTGTGTATATTTTTATCAACTCTACCCTTCTAAACGCGCACATGCCATTGTAGTATCCTCACAATTTATCTCATTTTCATTCCTAATAACAAGAATCCTTTTTTTTTCAAGGATTATGGAAATAATTTAGAAGAATCTGGAGTACACGGTGCTCTGATAGCTTTGGATGAAGGTTTTGATCCGGACAGTATGGCTTTAGCATTACAGATACCAACACAAAACACTCAGGTAAGAACCATTTTCATTTTGGTAATTAAAATTAGAAATGAGTTCACAATCTTGTGTGAAGAATATTCGAAAATTTATTGTGAGTGAATTCAACAGAAAACAACTACTATCCTGACTAATGCCATCAATGATATCAAACCACATTTTTTAAACTTAAATGAACATCATGAATAAATGTTATGAATACTATAATCTTACCTCAAGATTTTGTATAATGTAGGATTGACCAATTTTACCCTCATGTATTCCATCAAAGTACATCTCTAATACATTTTGAACATAATGCTATAATATTATACCGTTGATTGATATATTATGTTTACGCTGGTAAGATGCCCAACCTTACGGGGCAAAACGAAGTTTAAAAAACTCTATCACCACTATGTGGCGTAAAATAGTTCATGATCTCACAAAGTGGCAGCGATAGTGTCATAAGATGTCGGAGAAATACTTCGTAGCTTGACTGGCAGGTGCGCCACTTGCGAAGAAAAATCTATTGGAATGCAGATGTCGCGTGACTCGATAAAACGAAGAAAGAACGCTCGTATATCTGTCATGATTATTTTGCATCCACGATCAATCAGAACGATTCTAGCTAGTATGGTGGTTGATTAAAATTTGTTAGTAATTGTTGTGCTGGATAAGCTTATGACGAGCGCATCACGGACGTAAGATCCTAAAAAAATACATTATTGAAATCGAATTGAAGTGAATCACCAAAAATGCCTCAACAATTAATGCTTCCATAGTATTCAAAAAAATAGTCGGTATCAGGATTTGAACCTGCAATCTTCAGCTTATCAAGCCGGCACGCTACCCTTTAGAGTTTCGACTATCGGGCTGGTGCGAAAATTACGACAAAAGAGAAGGTCACAAATTAAGCTTTTTGATTACTTGCCACACATACGCAACTTTGGCACATTCTGATTTGTCATAATATTTTCATATCTAAGAATAAGCAACACACAAAACTAAACTTCAGCAAAAGCGTGGTAGGCACTCACTTTCAATTTATATATCGAAGCATTTTGGAATTGAACTACGAATTTTTTACGCTCACACACATCACGGGCGTGATATCATGAAACAATTTTCATCAAAATCGAATTGTAGTGAATCACCAAATTCAATGCCTCAACAGTCAATGCTTCCATAGTTTTATTTTCAAAACTAGTCAGTATCAGGATTTGAACCTACAATCTTCAGTTTATCAAGACGGCACGCTACCCTTTGGAGTTTAGACCATCGGACTTGTGCGAAAATTACAACAAAACAAAAGGTCACAAATTAAGCTTTTCGATGACTCAGCACATATTTTCATATTCAACTTCAGCAAAACATAGAACATAGGTTCGGCATCTTCCCAGCGTAATCATTGATTGATTCTATTGTTTCAAAAAAGTTTATCCAGTTGAAAAAGACACTTTCACAAAAATGTTAATTATGATTCATGTTCATTTTATTGTCAAACACTTCAAGTAGGAAATCATAACATGGGTACTGTGAAGTATAGAACACGAATCTCGGGGAGCTATCTTGAGGGAATGAGATTTCAAAGTATAAGAATCTATTTGATGCCATTCAAAGTAGTTTTTGATTCATCTCTTCATCTTTCGAAATAACCTAGATATTACTTGTTAAGGATATTGTGTATACCATGAATTATGCGATATTGAGAACAATATTTTTATATCTTTCAGGCCAGACAAAATTTGAAAGTAGAGTTTGGAAACCTAATTCGTGTCGCCACAGACCGAAGGCCGCTAGACATCCAATCTTGATATGGCACGGACCTCCACTAAGGATTTTTAAAAAATCGACCATGTAGTGTTCCGCTGTTCGCATCCTAAAGGCAGCCCCACCTTCTTTCTGTCAAAAGTCAGAGATCATTCTGGATAGAAAAATGAAAGGAATCACGATATGCTACGGCTAGACGACTGTGGTGTGACGTGCTGATGAAATTTTTCTCAGAAACCTCTGGTCACATACTCAAACGCCATAAAAATATCGTTGAATTTTCATTTGGATTAGTAAGTATTAAGGAATACTTCTTTTCCGAATCTAGTCATGTTCATAGATATTTATTTTTTTGTCAGAAAATCAAGTGTTATCATGAGTTTCTTTCATGTGAAAATGCATTGAAAAATTATTTTCTTCATTGGTATATCTGTTTTGGGCGGATAATTGGGTATCACTCTTAGATACAGGTCATCCCAGCTGAGACTTGCCAGTCCATTAATGAGCATCGAAAACTAATTGAAAAATTCTGAATCACTCAGATCCGTAGATTTTGTATTTTAAGGGAAACTTTTCAGCAATGCAATTGATGATCTTAACTCTGGTAGAGGTAATGAAAATTGATTTTGCTATTTAATTTAATTTTCTGAAATATGTGATTATAACTATCTCAACCTACGAGCCGTTTAATGTTTTAAATGAAAGACAATCATCACACGGGTGAGTCATTTTAATGAGGGATTTGTCACATTCCTAAGCTCTTACACGGGTGAGTCATTGAAATGGGAAAGTGAGATAACGGCTTCGCGAGATAGATGAATAAAATTGGTTGTGATTGTTTAGGCTCATAAGCAGCATATTCCTAAATAATTTTTCGCATACAGGGTGACTCAAATATGTGTGGCTTATCAAAGTTATACATTTTTTTATAGGATACCCTGTTTTTTGTTGCAATTTCGGATCTTACTTTTTGAGTTGATCAATGCATCACATTCTGGATCTTGCGGAAATGATTACAGAGATGTAGGGTTCAAAATCGAGAATTTTCAACTTCAGGATTTTTTGTGTGGATTCAGAATCATGAACCACCCTGTATTCTTTCGAATTAAATATCAGTAGATGGTAAATCAAAAGTCAAGATAGGGACATTCGAGCAGTTTTGACCAATAATGAATAGTTCGGAGACAAAAAAATCCTAGTTGGAAAATCTCTTCTCACTAGACCACAAGTGTGAAGCATTGTTGACAGGGTGTCCCATAAGAAAAAGTATAAATTTGATACGTCACGCATTTTTGAGTCACCCTGTATAACGCGAAATATTTTGGAAATGTGCTGCTCATGAGCCTAGACCATCACAAGAATTTTGGTTCATCTATCTCAAAAAGCGAAACCTTTATCTCACTTTTCCATTTCAATGACTCACCCTGCATTTCAATGCCATTTCAGAAAATTGAATTACTGATAACACTTCTTCCGTTATAACTTCCACAAAAGTAGGAAGATTTCCTATTCCATGTACCCATTTGTGATTGATAACTCTTCAAAATTATTTATTGGTATACATTACCCCCCTTCCCCATATCGACGTCCTTGATCATAGTAATCTTACTCTTACTCACGTTTCCAAACACCAAGAAACATGAAACATTGGGGGTTCCTGTCCATTTAACAGAAGGGGTTTCAGACGAGCAATTTCATAGCGGTCTGATAGTAGTTATGTCAATGGGATCACATCACAAATGACCACTTCAACTTTAAATATGTTGAATGGCATCGTCCGAGAATTTGAATAACTCCAAATAAGCCTAGAGAAGTATTTTGGTTGAAACAAAACACTAAGGTGAATACAAAATCTTTCTGCCATCATGATTAATGCATATTTATAGGTATCACGCCAGACTAGCACACTCAGTAGAGTTTACATGAAGATTGACCAGATTTTACCTCCGATACTATTGATACCTTACAAAGTCCGAGAGTGATCACTATTAGATATTTTAGAGTTACTAGGTCAAGAACTAATCATTGGCAATGATTCTTTTCTGTTGTTTCTTACAGAGGTTAAAAAAATTTAGAGGCATGTCTGGATACCTACTTACTAAACTCACCTTCATTTATTATTATTAACACTTTAGTTGTGGAGATGACTTTGGGTATTTCATCTGTTAACACTCTAGAGTTTATCTAACACAGCAGAAAAATCGTGGAAATAGGAAAAACACTCGAAATAGTTATGAAATACCGAAAAAGCCTCTTCAAGTCTTCACTTACAACTTACAGCTGCATAGTCAACCATGCGTATCATGAAACATCCTTAGTTATTCTAGAATTTTCATGGAATTTTCACGTAAATATTTTATATAAATACTAGGTTATGGTATATTTACGCGAATATTTTATATAAAAAAGTTCCGTTAATTTTATATAACAGTTATGTGAATATAACAAATGTGTTTGCTGGGTACTCATGCACCATTATTTTATGAAGTTACCTCAAGATTCCAACAGAACTATCGAATATCAAGGGTTTTTCATTTTGTGAAGACTCAAACATTTCCAACACACATTGAATTTTTCTAAAAAGAAATATGTGCGAGTATGTGATGAGAGGTTAACAATTTTTTTCCCAGAGAATACGATAATTATTGATGTCTAGAATGAAGTGTACGAGCTTTAATGGACTAAAACTACCTTGTATCGTAAATAACTCATAGTATTATTAACTGTACATTGAAATTGTTGTTTGTTGGGTTACCAGCGACTGAGTAAATATTGTTGAATGTGGCAGCGACAGTCAGTATTACCCCACGCGTGCCTGCACTATCTTTCGGTGCTGACATCTATTAACCCTTTGACTCATGAGTTGTTTCAAGAGATAAAAAAATTATTTTGTTCATATATTGTCAAAATATGATATTTGAACTTTGAACAATTTTTTCGAAATGACACTCCTAGAAGCACGAAAAAAAATTGGCCTACAATTGTAGACATTTGTTATCAATGGAACATATTATGATTTATTGAAAAACAAAAAAACTGTTTTTTTTTTGTCGAGGTGGTTGAAATCCTTTATATCATATGGGTCTAATCTCCCATATGATAGTGTGGGAGTCTCCTGACTCCAGTCAGGGTATACCCACTTAACATTCCACCCCATTTGTAGGCTCGTCTGACCAATGTCTCCGACTAAACTTAGGCCTTTTGGTCCATTGTATCTTACCTAATAGTTTATTATTGTGCCCACTATATTATCTCCGTACCTTAAAAAAGTCTGTGCAGATCCTTCACTGGATATGAGTTAAATACTTCTGGTTCGTCAACTGGTAGCCCAAAAATCTTCTGTCCTGCTCCTTTACTGGCACATGGCCAGTTATGAGTCGCGTAACATCACCAGAGATGGTTACATAAAATCTAATATGAAAAAAGAACTGTTCAATCCAAATCAAACTTTGTGAAATGTCTTTAAATTGTTGCAATTTTTCTGAACACACAAATGTACTTTACATTCAGTGCAAATCTATCAAGTGTTGCCCTTGCAGCCAACATGTTGACATCTCCCTGGTAGGGATACTACAGTGTGCTCTGGTATATGATACATATTGTTCAACTGTACATCTGCAAGATGTGTCATTTCAGTTCTGTTACGACTCGGCTGAACTGGGACGTCGTCTTTCGATGGCTTTCCTACCCTACCCTACCTTTTTTCTGGAACTGTTATTCATGACATTTTTGATGAGCACGTCCCCTTTTTCCATTCTGAAGTGAAATAACTCTAGAACCTTTTTTGCTGACCTACCAAGCAACTGCCATCTACCGCATGAAATATCATTCTCAGTGTCTATTTAAAACAGATAATCAATTCGTTGAATACAAATGTCTACAATTGGCTAGTCACATTCCCTAGGCGAAATATTTCACGAAAATATATGTGAAAGCATCAAGATGAATCATTTGATTGAAAGAAAAACATAACACTGACTAGATCACCAGAAAGTTTCATTATAATTGTAGAACTATAAAAACTCACGTGGATGGTACGTGAGACGAAGTTAACACGATGCACGCTGCAGTATATCTTACTACTTGTGTATAACAGATGTCACCGCTAACTGGCTGACATATGAGCAGTTACGTCTACGAATGTATTCAGTGTTGTGTAAACGCGAAACGAAGCGAGTTATTGGTTGGTATCACGTATACTGGAAAGTTAGTATCTACAATTATAGACACCGTGAGTCAAAGGGTTAAGCTTTGAGGCTCAAGGAATTTTCAATAAATTGATAATAACTGTACATCACAATAACTCTTAGATAATAAAAGGATATTGTATGATAATTAGCAATTATATGTTCGATGAATAGTAGATAGAAGTCCTACTGACATATTTGATGAGGAATTTGATAATATTCAATGAAAAAAAAAATGTTAAGCCAGTATTGAACTTGGATCCTGCTTGTGCAGCAAAGTGCGTTGGGAATTGAGTAAGCTACGAAACTACTGATGATAATTATTAATCTTGGAGATGACCGTACCAGTGGAATATGAAGGATTGTTGATTGAAAAATATGCACATACTATTTCCATAACCAAATATAACTATAAAGGATTAGGACACACAAGGCGCATTTTCGTCGAGCGTCTGCCGCGCGGCGGCCGAAGGTATCGCACACACGCAGTTTTCTTTCGAATCATGGTCATTAAAAATTGAAACGCTGAAGGAGTGAGACATTGTAAAGGGATCATTGATTCTGATGATGAATTCTGAAAATATCGGGCAGTTCTGACCTAGGAGAAACTAATCAAAATCAAGTATTGTAACCGGGATGTCCGATAAAATAGTACCGATCTGCATAGTTTTGGGGCTATCATTTTAACCTCAGTTGTCTTTAGATAGACATATGTTTATGGTTTCCGGTAATTGTATTTGGGATTGAGAAGCTGTAGACATAACAGTTATGTATGGGTGATAACCGTTTTGATTATGACGCGATACTCAATAAAACCATGAAGTTCTCCATAGGAATGCATGTTTATTAATGGTCGTACAATAGACAAAATATTTCACGGGATAGACACCATACATTCGACCATACATTGATCTATGATTCAAGGAAACTGGTTCTTTAAATGGTGAACAAGAAAAGTATCGGTACATATTTATTTCCTGTTCAACCAATTCTGCGGATCAACAATCCGGAACATATTTTTAATTTGACAAATCATGCAATACAGGGTGTCCCGTGATTCGATGTCAATAGCTTGAGAACAATTCGATGTCAATAGCTTAAGAACAATTTCAAGTCGAAAATGCTTTATACACTTTTGTCCAAAAACTTTATAGTCGAAGAGTAATGAGCAATATTGAATTTAACAGAGTAAATAGAATGAAGAACAGAGAATCTTGAATTTAGTGTGTTTTACAGATTATCCCCCTATGAGTAAAGCTGTGATGGCATACAAACTGAAAAACAATGACTAACGGAAATCATAGAACTGTGTTCTCCTGAACGAACCTCAGTTGTCTAGTCTAGTCTCATCAGTCTACGAATCTTTCATTCCATTTTTTTCACTGATATATCACTTTGTTTTGTCTGTCTATAGCAGGATATCCAGGTTCGATTATAGGACAACAGATTTGTCGATGATATAAATTTATTTCACCTGATATGCTATGTCATCTGAATATCTCCAAAGAAATTGGTAGTTGAAACTAATATTGAATGCATGAGATCATGACAGTTTGTGATAATTCTAAAAAATTATTTTCCTCAATATTTTTCAAGATTATCTCCAATAGCTATGATTTCAACATATATTTATATTCAATATTCACTTTGTGATTTTTTTCTCGATTTGTAGTTATGTTGTAACCGAAGGTAACGACGCCGACATAAAAAATGCGGCTATTTCGAATAATACATGATCTTGAATTCTTGATGAAAATGATACCTGGGTGAGTTTGAAACTGACATTGTCTTTTTTGTTGAGGCAATATCATTCGAATTATGAATGAATACCGCTAGAAATAAATAAGACAACAACAATAATTATTGTTATTGCCATTGCCATATGTATGATTCACTTTTAATTCTCAATTGGGGCATTTTAGCTCCAGCTTCATAAAAAAAATTGTTAATTCCTAATTTGAAATGGTTTCGATTTACTTCAGAACAGACTAGGCAAATTCCACTGAATTATTCTATCGTCGAACTAAGTATGTTTTTATAATTTTTATATATTTTTATTTTATAATTTGACAAATCATGAGATATAAAACTACCATGATATTATGAGGACATGGTGGACCTAGTCGTAACAATGTCGAGATAGATTCTCATTCTAATTCTCAAATATAATTTTTAGAGATTTCAGAGTGTTTTATGCAATTATCATTCAATTTATCTCGTTGTAATTATGATACTTGAAAATTTCTTCAGCTATGTAGACACAGTTCATTTTGTTGCTATTTAGCTAGTACAAAAATAAAAGAAATCCGGTGTCCATGTAAAGCTTTTGGATGTGAAAAGTGAGATAACCGATTTTCAAAGTAAAATCTATTTAAACGAGTTTAATCAATTTTTGGGTGAGTTCAATATAAGTATCAATATTTGTTACTGTTCTACTTACATTGAAGAGTATAATAGCAGCTGAAACCCGTTTTAGTCAACATGCTATTTTGAATCCAATATCGATAGAAGTGGTACTGAATATTTTTTAATTTAGTATGCTAATTTCACTTTGAATATACCTATACATTATAATATATTTGTATTGAGAATTTTGATTACCAGATAGTTACCCGGTGGTGTGGCAATTGTTGAATGGAATAGTTTCATTGCATTAGATTTAAATAGAATTTACTGTAATCAGGTATTTCACGTCTCAACTAGCATTCATTTTGAATTCAAAATGACAGTTATTTCCGTTTCATTTCCAAACACCACCATAATATATACCTACCATCAGTCATTAGTTGTAAAATTTCTGTATATATTATACAGATAATATATTTTCATGTTTTTATTACATTTAGTATGTTTTATACAATGTTTGTAATATATTTTTACTGTTATTTATTTTCAATCCTGAATATAAAATTGTGCTTATACATATACATACTGTTATTAATTAAAGGAGGGGAAAAGACGGAGTCGTTGACCTGACACTCCGGGAATGATTGTCATTATTCGTATTTGATCTAATAATAGTGTTAAACAATGTACATAAGTACATATTACATGAAATATAACGAAAAATCGAATTATTTCTTCATTGTTTCATTTCAGGCAACTACCTAATTTATCTTATCGCAAGGCTGATTCGACAAACATGTTTGTGATATCACCAGTTACAGACAGATTTAATATAACGTCTATTCAAGTGCAAATGTCTGATTCTTGTGATTTTTCTTCCACGTCTCTATAACTAAAAATATTAGTATCATGTCAATATACTATAGTAAGGGCCCCAAAATGTCACTGCGCTCAAAATGGGAGAGACCACTGATTTTTCGAAACGACATTATCGTGAACTCTATGCTGTAAAACTACCAGTGAATTTGTTTTGAATGTTTTTTCAATGCTAAGACGATGAAAAAAATAAATTAGAATATGCCCATTTCAAAACACACAATTCCTACGCCATTTGAAATTTTATCAATTCCTTGGTGTGACTGGTGCGACGTCTTAGTCCCAACACGTCTATCGTCCTTGAACTGACCAATCACACTGCAACACTGCAGAATGACGAGGTATCAGAGATAGATAGCTACAGTTCGGGACTAATACGTCACAGTTCCACCATTATATTTGGTTTTTTGAAATATCGAATGAAATATGCTGATTTCAAAACGATATAGATTCGATTTCCTTTAACTTCAACTCATAATATTGATTGTACATAAAACGTAAATCATGATTCGTCTATTGAAAGAGGTTTGCACGGATTTCTTTCCTCAGTGGTCTTCCCCATTATAAACCTAAAACAAAAAATATGAGATCTCACTTATCTTTGAACGTTTTGGAAACGAATCAGCTCTGGTGCACCTTTATTCTTGTTATCGAGACTTTTTTCTTTGATTTCGAGCGCAGTGACATTTTGAGGAAAATTTTGAGCGCAGTGAAAGTTTGGGGTGAATTATCTGTTTGTTCTCACTACAGGCATATTGAAATGAAACTATTTTTATCTATAGAGACGACGAGAGCATATCGCAAATGTCTAAAGAAATTAGTATACCTCCTCCTCGATTAACCTACAGACAGTATTCAACAAATATCGAGGTATCCCTATCATTTTTATTATGTACATTCAGTGAAGTTAAAAATAGTAGGTGAAGTGTATTTGTAAATATATTTATTATAACTATCGTCCACATATTTTTTGTGATTCCTCTAATCTACTCCATTGATTTCTTAGACTCATTTGCTCATCTATAGAGAATACTGAGAATAGGTAGGCACCTACCTATCCAATCTTATATTATTGAATAATGAGTGACTCATGAATACCTTCATATTTTATTCTTGTTTTTCTTCCGTTTCCAAGAAGGCACCATTATATAGCTTCTTTATATAATCTTTTCTACAGTTGAGTTTATCAGAAGGACGATTATGAGCTTGATATACTCCGTCTTTCAGTATTCGCACTCCTGTGAATATTCTCTGTAAAAAAATAACTCATTGAGTATGAAACACAACATGCATATTTCAGTATTTTTTTAATCTTTTGGAGCGCACGAAACTGAATCTCCATAATATTCGAAGAACATCGTGCTAGTTCTAGGAAATACTTCCAATGGAAAAGAGTTTCAAAGCTTTGCCATTTTATGGACAAACGAATTTTGGAATATTACTAATTAATTACTTCTATACAGAGAGTGTAATTCAATCTATAGTACAGTCTTGTATAGAAGAAATGAAATAATGAGCAGTGATGGGATTAATCCCTACAAATTAGGATAATATCTTAGTTTTATTCCTTCTATTCAAAATATTTGTTTATCCGTATTATTTCATAGCCATAATAATTGAAACTTGGTAATAATAATTTTGAATTGACTTTATGACACTAAGATATTTGTTCTGCAACTGATTATTTTTTGTTTCGACGCAATGTTCTTTTGTGAATAATTCGAAGCACGGAAAAATGAAGCATAATACAAAAAGAAACGATTTATGATGATAATTAGTTGAGTGACTGTCATATATAAATATAGTGGTATAGTAAGTAGACACATATACTAGGTATAGAGAGAAGAAAACAATTCGTTTATAGAAAAATCTATGCAGGATTAACTTGATGGTGATTCCTTGGTGTATACAGACTTTATGGTAAGTATTCTCGTTTTGTTTCTATGAACAATATGTTTCTGTGTCTCTTTGGCGTGAGCATTGGAACCTTAGGATCTGTTATTTTTACAAAAAAACTTATCTGTTGATAGGTATCTACCTGTTTATCTACAGTGAATCTATGATAACATCCACCAGGTATCACAATTAAATCTCCAGGAATCAATTCAATTCTTATCCATTCGTCGAACTTATCACGGACATCGTAGTATCCGCATCCTTCCAATACCAGCCGGAACTCATCGTAGCTATGGAAATGTTCAGTGTACAATTGCCGTAAGTCATTCTCATCTAAGTTTTCTAGAATCTGCTTGCCTCTGTTATCTCGGTCTTGCATCAGTTTCAGGAGGGTTGCATCTATTTGATAGTTGGTAGGAACAATCTGGAAAAATATTGTAAACTTTTGTTTATTTATTCATTCCGCAGGACGAGTCCAAAACAAGATAGCAAACAACTAACGAATACATAAAACAAACGGTGACAAAACGAATGGAATAAACCAAATTCTGTGAACAATAGTAGTACATTATACACCTAGGGTGAGAAGTGAGCTTATTATATAGCGAGCACATACATACACAGGGTGTAAATTTGAAAACTTTCAATGCGAATATCTCGCGAAATAAAAAAGTTAGAAAAATGCCGCTTGGCAAAAATGCTAAAGAGTTAAGGGGAACTAGAACCACCATATTGCAGTGAAGGGATGAGTCACCCTGTCAGCGCAACACACCCCAACTTTGAAATGTCAAATGGCACTACCTCTTTTGTGATACCTCAAATGAACGGTCTCAGTCAGTAGTATTCACCTGTACAAGACTTCTTTTCCACCCACTACAGGGTGTACGAAAAACATTAATTCGAGGGTCTAAATTTGAAAACTTTCAATGCGAATATCTCGCTAAATAAAACAGTTAGGAAAACGCCGTTTGGCACAAATGCTACAGAGTTAGGGGGAACTAGAACCACCATACTTCAGTGAAGGGATGAGTCACCCCGTCGGCGCGACACACTCCATCTTTGAAATGTCAAATGGCACTACCTCTTTTGTGATACCTCAAATGAACGGTCTCAGTCAGTAGTATTCACCTGTACAAGACTTATTTTCCACCCACTACAGGGTGAACGGAAAACATAAAGTGAATATTCAGTTATGTCTTGTGTCTGATGTAATCGACATTTTATAAACTTTTTTAATATTGAAAATTTCACCAGTATCACTTATTATATAGGTATATGGTGTCAAAAATGAAGATATTTTATTGGTATCCGATGAAGTGGCTATCAAAGCATTTGAGAGGTTCTATTTTATATCGGTGTCCTATTCAATCAGAGTCCACCTTACTGTTGCATTCTAAAATCATGGCTACCACCATTGAGTATTGAGTACGCTCAATTAAAGTTCTGATTAGATTACTGATCGGGAGAGAAAGTGTTGAACAGGTATCATGTGGTCCTTATATTATTGACTGATTCATTTATTGGTCTTGTGACTAGAAGCAGCTATTACGGTTAACTGTTTGGCTCATGCTCATCATCAGTCTTTTTTCACTACTCATGAATTCTTACGTCTGGATGTGCAGTCTTTTGGGGAAAAATGTTCGCAAATATTTTTTTTATGAGTAGGTAACTATACTCCCTCCTTTACTTGCCTGGAAATACTCAACTCCAGTAGTTTTGAATAATTCCTCCAAGCTAATGAATTTAGGAGGCGACCTATGATGCTCTTCCTTCGGATTTTTCGGATCTTCGTCCATAAACCAAGCACGAACCATCTCGGAAGCACTTACAGATAATACTGAGATTATATGTGTATATTTTTTAGTGTTCAGTGTTGGCTTGAACCAGTGGCGTCAATGTTTGAAACCAGAGGGATCCACCTTACTTCAAGGAGAAATTTTCCAAGATCACTATCTTATATTGTCAATTCAGGGCCGTCTTTAACCTATTGGAGGTCTTGGGCACATTAGGGTATTATAGCACTATTTTGTTAGCATATAGACAGAAAAAGTAGATGGGCAAAGTTTTTGATTTATTTTAATTTATTTCACTGACACATCAAATAAATAGATAATATATTATAATTCACATATTGTAAAGTATTCACAGGTTAGTGCGCATTGATATATTAATTGAAGAGGTATGCTAGATTTGGTGTGGGCAAAATCATCAATTATTGCTTCAGAATCTATATGTTTTTGAGCATATCACATTTTTTATGGACATCAGCGACAAACTGTGTAGTCTATCTTGAAGCATTATTGCATATAGTTCTTAATTCATTTGTTAACATCATGCTTGTGACCCTTAACTGTTATCGTGTTTTCCTGAAACGTATCTGGCATCGTGGGTATCAGGACTTTTCAAAAAATGTAACAATTTTGTGAAAAAAATTCTATTCGTGTTCGAATTACAGGAGAGCGAAATAAAAATCCATATTATCTTGGGATGCTGTGAAAATGACTCTATAGGTATAATTGTCGTGTGAATAATAGTCGCTATTGCAGGCTTGTCCTTCAAGTCACTATTTACCCCTGTGATGAGGAGAAAAAGATTTCCATTATAGTAAAAAAAGAACTGGCAGGGGTATAATTTGCACACATCTATTTTCGAAAGTGTTTGATTTTTGCAAAAAAATTCACTACGATTTCCTAGATATCATGAACTCATTAGAATACCTGAAACGACAAATTACCAAGTTAGTCAAGAGTATGTTATTATCGCGAGATAATTATCACTAGTGGGGTACCGAAACACCCCACGGTACCAGTTGAGGGTGAAAAGATGCCCAATGCGATTTCTACATTTGGAAATGTGTTTTCTTTCACGAGACCATACATTTCCAATATAATGTTAGTTCATTCATTTTCACTATACACAATATATTTCAAACATAACCTGTGGAGGTCAGGCGGCCGCGTGGTTGAAACGTTAGTACTCTATCGCGTTCGCTTGCCGATCTTGGGTTCAAATTCCCGACTGCAGGAAAATTTCTGATGGCCTAAGAAAGTGTTTGGGATCACACCTTAAAAGATTAGGCCCCCGTCATTCCTTGCTCGCACAAGTCTCTTGAAGACTTCTAAGAGTTGCTCGTAAGGGGGCAACCGAATGACGGATAAGATTAATTTTAGTACAATTTTAGAACAATTATAGAAACATTTTAGAACAATGTTCGTGAGTAAATTAGTGCAACCCGACACATTTTTTTATGATGATGATTTTTTTATGATGTGTGCTCGGCAAAAATATTTTGAGAATAAATGTGAGAGAAATTTTCGGTGCTTCGGGACCCCCTGAGGAAGGGGGGTCCCGGGCACAGGCCCCGTGTGCCCTTATGGTGAAGACGGCATTATCATGTAGACATTAACAATATTGCCGTCACAGACAAAGTACCTGAAGCGTTTTTCACTGAAGGCTGGTAGATTCTTTGGAGAGGACCAATTTTCGATTACTCTCACTTTGAATATAGTTTCAATTATCATCAGAAGGAAGACTTTTGGTCATTATTCATTATTTTGAATTGACTCGGCCGTTACGAATTTTACAAACGCTATGATATTTCCACAAAATTCTTAGTCACACGACATGTTTCGCTAACACAGTAGCTTCATCAGGTGAATACTGGTAGATCTATGCTGGTACAATGAAATAAAGTAACTTCGTCATGCCAAGGATTAGAATTACCTGTGGAAAAGTTCGATAAAATAGGCACATTATCTACATCAAAATATATACGGTGTAACGGATTAACTTGAAAGGGTTGATAGCTAATACATATTGTTACCTACTAAGGAAACAAATTTAACAGTGGTGAACTATAGAGGTCTACTAAATCGTGACCGATAAATAACTTAGGGCAATATCCACAGTTGAGTTTGTATACCCCTGATTTGAATTTGAAAGTTTTGTCTTTATTATTTTTGATGAACCTTTCCGACGTGTTATTTGTTCAATATGCTACTTTCAAGTCCTGATGTAGAAATGAAGCTAATGTTTCAGTTGATGATCCGAAATATTTAGATTAAAGTTCTATAATTTTGTAGAAATATAATCGTCTGTGAAGTTTTTACATTTATTCAGTATTATTCCATACCTCTGAGATAGGAGCCATGGTGAACAAACGACGCATCTTACTTCCTGGGTTGCCCTATTGGCGACAATATAAATAGTTTCTTTGTTGTTTGCACTTATCATTTATATTTTTCAGGTAATCAGTTCGCCTCTTGCTGCCAAGCTTGACCTCAAGACAAAGTTCCGACCATCAAGATAGAACAGTAGCTGGGTCATGATTTAACATCATACATTGAAGAAAAGTTTAGCACTTAGTGTTGTTAACATTTTCCTACGGCTATAACACGATTGCTATTATTTTACTGTTATCGATAAATCAAGGTACATTGTATGTCTTCAATTTCAGTCCCTCATCTGATACGACAATTATAGCCACAAATTTCGACCGTCATCTGATAACTAAATAATATATGTCCGAAAGGGATGTAAAGCCATTTTAGTTTATCGAACGGCACCTGTGCCAATCTCTATCCTGAGCAAAATGATTGAGAAATTGCAATTTCATGTCCGGAAATTTGTAGTCGATTTCGCGATTTGATAACGAGATAAGAATTATGCCATCCGATACCAATTAAATGGTATATTTCAAAAAGCTCTCTGTGCCACCCCTCAGTCTGAGCCAAATCCATAGCACAGCGATTTATTTGCTGCTATTTTTCGGATATACTTCCGTCTTGTGATCACGAGTTCAAACAAGAAGCAAATAAAAGGGGATGATGTTACCTTTGCAAATATCCAAACGTGCCGCGACTCAAACTGATCTTAGTTAGTGACAGAGCGTCAATACTTTCGAGAATATTTTGCCACCTTCTAAAGATAATATCCGACCTCTCGGGTTTGACTGTTAACTTCTGAACAACTCTGAACAATAATTTACAAGAGTTCCAGCCCAGGCAACCAGATGGCGAATGATCACGTCACTGTGACGTCCCTTATTGGTGATTTTTCGTCAGAGACGTCACACACCAATTTATGACGTCACTATGACGTACTTTCTATGACGTGATGATCACGTCATCGTTTCGACGTCGAGTGAACGTCACTTAGATGGGTGAAAGAAGACGTCAGTTTCATGACGTATCTATGACGTCTAAAAATCACGTCGGTGTGACGTACCAATTTGGTGATCTTCGTCATTTAGGTAATTTTTCAATAATTTACTATTTAGATTTTTGTTGAGTGACAAAGAATGCATCAATATACATTATTCAACAAAGTGAAGCCAAAATCGCCAAAATCCTTTCCATTGCTATCAAACTATTCTTTGTTTGCTTACATCTCGCCGACACAAACTTCATAATTTTTGATACAAAT